TTACGTTTTCAAGAGGAGTCATTCCAGAAAGCGCTCAAGGTTTACTATTTCTTTAACCATTGAATTAGCCTTTTTTTTCGAGCCAAAGATTTATTTCTGCCTCTGAGCCAGTGTTATTTTCTCTTCCCAAGCATTCACAGCTGTTTAAGTGCCTGCTGATAGAAGAATTTTCAACCTTCACATATTTTAGGGTTACAGTTTTCATCCTTTGCATAGTTCTCCTGTGCTGAGTATCTACGACTGCTGCTGATGTCTTATGGTGGGAAATGGAGGTGTCAGACAAGCTACAGAGATGCATTCTGTGAGCCTGACACTGACCCCAGCATTGGCTGAGCTCTGAGATAAGCTCCCTAGGGGATATGAATGCTCCCTTTCCCAACACATGAGCCCTCATGCCACAAGCTCTAAAACCCAGTGGACTTTTATAATGCTTTTTCTGCCTTAGAACTTTAGGTTCATGTAGGTTAGGCAAACCTGTGATATATATGTTGAGTGTTGCAGTAATCAAACGTGACAGTATTGAATCTGCCCTGTAAAGGAAACATTGTGATTATTTTCAAGTTCTGTCTACATTTTGCAAGTCTCCAGGCTCCTGGTCCAGAAGCATGGCTTTTGTTAATTCTAGGACTTTGTTTTTGACTCTTCTTCCAGTTCTTAGATGCAGTCATGCAAAACTCCTCATCACATCTTGCAGCCATTTACTGAATGCTTATAAACATTAATAGGAAGACACCATACCCACACATTGAATCATAGAGTAGTTAGGGTTGGAAAGGACCTTAAGATCATCTAGTTCCAACCCCCCTGCCATGGGCAGGGACACCTCACACAAAACCATACCACCCAAGGCCCTGTCCAACCTGGCCTTGAACACCACCAGGGATGGAGCATTCACAACTTCCTTGGGCAACCCATTCCAGTGCCTCACCACCTTACAGGAAAGAATTTCCTCCTTATACCCAATCTAAACTTCCCCTGTCTAAGTTTTAACCCGTTACCTCTTCTCCTACTACTACAGTCTCTAATGAAGAGTCCATCCCCAGCATCTTTATAGGCTCCCTTCAGATACTGGAAGACTGCTATGAGGTCTCCACGCAGCCTTCTCTTCTCCAGGCTGAACAGAGTCAACTTTCTCAGTCTGTCTTCATATGGGAGGTGCTCCAGTCCCCTGATCATTCTCGTGGCCCTCCTCTGGACTTTTTCCAACAGTTCCATGTCCTTTTTTATGTTGAGGACACCAGAACTGCACACAATACTCCAGGTGAGGTCTCACGAGAGCAGAGTAGAGGGGCAGGATCACCTCCTTCGACCTGCTGGTCACACTCCTTTTGATGCAGCCCAGGATATGGTTGGCTTTCTGGGCTGTGAGTGCACACTGAAGCCGGCTCATGTTCATTTTCTCATCGACCAACACACCCAAGTCCTTCTCCGCACGGCTGTTCTGAATCTCTTCTCTGCCCAGCCTGTAGCTGTGCCTGGGATTGCTCCCACCCAGTTGTAGGACCTTGCACTTGGCATGGTTAAACTTCATGAGGTTGGCATCAGCCCACCTCACAAGCGTGTCAACGTCCCTCTGGATGGCATTCCTTCTCTCCAGCATATCAACCGAACCAAGCAGCTTGGTGTCATCAGCAAACTTGCTGAGTGCGCACTCAATCCCACTGTCCATTTCAGCGACAAAGATGTTGAACGAGACCGGTCCCAACACCGATCCCTGAGGGACACCACTTGTCACTGGTCTCCAGCTGGACATTGAGCCATTGACCACAACTCTTTGTGTGTGGCCATCCAGCCAGTTCTTTTTCCACCGAGTGGTCCATTCATCAAATTGATGTCTCATCTCTCCAATTTAGAGACAAGGATGTCATGTGGGACAGTGTCGAATGCTTTGTCCAAGTCCAGGTAGATGACATCAACTGCTTTACCGCTGTCCATCAGTTCTATAGCCCCATCATAGAAGGCCACCAAATTGGTCAGGCAGGATTTCCCCTTAGTGAAGCCATGCTGGCTGTCACCAAGCACCTTGTTGTTTTTCATGTGCCTTAGCATGCCTTCCAGAAGAATCTGCTCCAAGATTTTGCCAGGCACAGAGGTGAGACTGACTGGTCTGTAATTCCCCGGGTCATCCATTTTCCCCTTCTTGAAAATGGGGGTTATATTTCCCTTTTTCCAGTCATCAGGAACTTCACCTGACTGCCATGATTTTTCAAATATGATGGATATTGGCTTAGCAGCTTCGTTTGCCAGCTCCTTCAGGACCCACGGATGGATTTCATCAGGTCCCATGGATCTGTGTGTGTTTAGGTTTTTAAGATGGTCTCACACCAGATGCTCTCCTACAGTGGGCCCAAGGTCTTCATTCTCACAGTCCCTGCATCTGCCTTCCGAGACTTGGGTGGTGTGGTCAGAGCGTTTGCCAGTGAAGACTGAGACAAAGAAGTCATTCAGAACCTCAGCCTTCTCCAAATCCATGGTAGCCAGTTCTCCTGATAGCTTCAGGAGAGGGCCCATGTTGTCCCTAGTCTCTCCCATATTTGCAGTGAAACTATAGAATCCCTTCCTGTTATCTTTCACATCCCTAGCCAAGTTTAATTCTAACTGGGCCTTAGCTTTCCTAACCTGGTCCCTAGCTTCCCGGACAACATCCCTGTATTCTTCCCAGGCTGCCTGTCCTTGCTTCCACCTTTTATAAGCCTCTTTTTTCATTTGAATTTTCCTCAGCAGCTCCTTATCCATCCAAGGAGGTCTCCTGGCCCTCCTGTGCACTTCCTTGTAGTTGGGATGCAACACTCCTGAGCTTGTAGCGGGTGATCCTTGAATATCATCCAAGAGTCTTGGGCCCCCCTGCCCTCTAGGGCTACATCCAATGGAACCTTACTAAGCAGGTTCCTGAAGAGGCCAAAGTCTGCTCTCTTGAAGTCCAGGGCAGTGAGCTTGCTTTGCGCTCTTCTCACTGTCCTGAGGATCTCCAATTCGACTATCTCGTGATCATTACAACCACGGCTGCCCTGGAGCATCACATTTCCAACCAGCCCTTCCCTTTTGGTGACCACGAGGTCAAGCGTGGCAACTCTCCTTGTTGGCTCCTCTATTAGGTGCAGAAGGAAGTTGTCTTCCACACAATTGTGGAATCTCCTGGATTGCTTGTGCCAGGCTGTACCGTCGCTCCAACAGATATCAGGGTGGTATATACATACAAACACACAAAACCATGTAGAATCTCTGCTTGAGAATAGCTGTAAAATCAGTTCTGTAAAAGAAAACTCAAGATGTGCTATTTTCTCAGATGAATGGGCTTGCATAATACCACATTAATGGTAGCTTTTTTTATGGCTTCTTAAATCAAGAACAGAACTTCAAATCTATTTACTGTACAGGGCACTTTTTCTTAGATCTACAAATAAGATGAGAGGCATGTACTGTTTGGTCTAGCAAGTTTAGGATTCACTGCCAGGGTTTGCTGGCTGTTAGGTCTGGTTTGACTTGACTCCAGGAGTATGAACATCTCCTTTTTAACTAAGTTTCCTAAAAATGCCTCATTAATATCTAACTCGGTAAGAAGAGGGCAAAGCACCATCCATGAAAGCAGAGAGCAAGTCCCATGGCAAAGCTGGAGCCTGGTGGCTTGTGTGCTACCTCTGCTTCCCATTTCACTTGCACTGCTTTGCCAAACACATGGTGACTTTACATACTTCGGGGACATTAATTAGCTAATTTTGCTCTGTGAAAGAGCTTCTAATTGATGTTATACTCAGTTTACAGCTGAATTCACTGAGGCCCTGAAGGGAAGCAATTTCTTCAGCCTGCCCAAGTAGAGTTATATTGCTAAAGATGGAGCCTACCCTGAGAGCTGCTGACCTCTGTTAACCCCTACTGAAGCAGTTAAGCACCAGAAAACTCAGCATCTTTCAGGATAGTCCTCAGCACTAGAAAGGGTCAGACTCAAGTGAGGCCAAGGAAAAACAGCACAGTGAGCACAGCAGTCCAAGAAGGTCCCAGCTGGGGTCAGATGCCTGCTTCAATCACCCTCAGCTTCTGTTGCATGCAAAGCCAATAATGACATAACTATTAACTAATTACAGTGACAGGAAGGGGAAAGTGGTACAATGAATGCTAGCAGAATTCATAAAGTCAAATGCCAGTATACAAAATAATAGTTTAGTTCCTGACTACCTCCTGTGTTTAAGCTAAACAAAAGACAAAGTAGTATCTTCAGGATGTATTTGTGAAGAAAACTGTTCCTTATTTAAGAAAAAATTCCAACAGTTTCTTTTATTTAATTAGTATTTCATTTGCTCTGAGGGTAATATGCATATATATTCATCTTGCATCTTTGGACAAATTGCGCTATAAATATTATGTTGTAAAAGAAGGACAGATAGTGAGAGCTGGGCTGTCTCCCATCAAACTGAACTGAATCTCACAGAATTACCTTGTAACTTGTAGAATGGACATGGTGGTAGGCAAGAGAGATTGTGACAACTGCAACCAATTCGGGTTGAAGGTGTATATGATCCAATTGGTAGCTGTGCTATCCCAGGAGAGACCCAAAGAAGGACTGATGGCTTTGAAACATACTTCCTTCCCTCCGTACTGACCCACCTCCAGCTGAAAAAGATCTTCATTCCCCCACCCCTGGGCAGTGCGCGCAGGCTGTCCTCCCGTTCCTCCCTTCCTAGCAGCTACTCTGGCTGCTCCCTGTCTGTCAAGCTGTGTTCCCCTGCATCAGGGTACTAATGGGAAGTCCCCATGCTCCCTTCTTCCCCTTCTCAGTGCCCATGTAAGGCAAAGCTAGCACCTGCATGGAAGCACTGGATGCTACCAGAGGCTTGTGTCCCCCTCATGCATATATACACAAATACATGTACATAGGAACCACTGTGTCTATATAGCAAATGAGAAAACAAAGTTTACAGAAAGAAAAAGGCAAAAATACTTGAAAAAAAAAAAAAGATATAATACCTTTTATAGTCATCTCTTCCATGTTTATATATGTGATACCAGGGACAAAGATTTGGGTCTCACACAGAGGGGTCAGCCACCATGAGTCAGCCTTTTTGCAATGTGAAGCACTGCTAAAAGCACATCACTGTCAGAAGTGTGATCCTGTAACTAACAGTATTTTTGTTTTTCTTTCCTTTTAGTTTGAGCCATCACAGTGTCAGCATCAGAAGAAAATGCAAACCTTTGTCTCGATAGCCCAGAAAGCATGGGGAATTTTTGTATCCGAAAGGAAACCTGGCTGGAAGTACCTGATGCAGCTTTTTGCAGTTTGCTCTGCAGTTGGCTTTGTCTCAAGCTTTCTATTATTCCTTGGCATGCACTTTTCCCTGGCACACAGTGCTTTGTGTCCCTTACTGGTAACTGGATTCATCTGGATTTTGCTTTCTATCATGCTCTCATGTTTCAAGCAGCTGCGCTGCTTTAGTGTCCTGTTCCTTCTTTCTTGCGGACTGCGAAATGGCAGGAATGCACTTATTGCGGCTGGCACAGGTGTCATGGTGGCTGGCAACATCCAAAATATATTTCACAACCTAAAGGTTCTGGCAGACAGTATAACCTGTCATTTAGAGTATGAACAATTTGCCTTGATAAAATATTATGTTGAGGCAGTAAAATGGATTTATGAGATGACCAAGCTTTCCTCTGATCTATCTAAACATATAGTGTTTCTAAGGCATGAATTCTCACCATCTTATTCGATTTCAGATGATGCATTAAAACAAGAGCTAAATGACACAAAGCAAGAAATCCAGAGAGTTGCTAACCAGATATCTTTTATGCTGACTATACTGCCCTATATAGGCCAGAAAGTACTGCCTGTAGTGGGGATTTTTCTAGCTTCTTTTGGAACCTGCCTCTTTATCAAAAAATTTGTGGGTTCTCACAGCACCAAATATAAGAATACTTACATCACAAAAGAGTTTATTGTATTTGATGAGCGCCAAAAGCAACAGCAAAGAGCCTGTCTTCTGCCACTTAACAAAAAAGAAAGAAAAGATTATGTAATAATCCCATCTTTCTGCCTCACAAGGAAGGACAGAAAAAACATGCAGTACTTCTTCTTTCCTGTAATTATTCATCTTTGCATCTGGCTTCTGTTTGCTGCGGTAGATTATCTGTTTTATTGGTTAATTGTTTCTGTGAGTAAACACCTCCAAGAAATACCAGATATAGAGATTCAGCTCAGCCTCTTTCAGCAAGTAAGTACTTATCAGTACTTTCTTAATTTATTATTATTTATTATTATCTTAGTATATTTCTTAGTTTAGTATTGAAAAAGTTCTCTTCTTCAGCATCTGCAGGCACAGACACACAACCATCAATTCTTTCCTAGCATTATCATTTGTTTGTTTCAAAAAGGACCACTGCCTTTACAGATATGTATGCTGGATGGAAATAGACAGTTCTCTCTGCACTTTCCAAAGTGTCATCATATTTCTAGATAATGGTAAATATTGAAGAAGGACTTTCATTACTCTATTTACACACGTGGAGAAGACCAGAAGCTTAAAACTGGAAACTCACAATACTGACATGTGTGAATTGCCACTTTTATAGTCAAATGCCACTATGACACTGATGTAAGAGATGTTTACCTTTTTATAGCTCAGTAGTGTGAGGAGCTCATCATTTAAATAAGCTTGGATACATACACATGAAATAATAACACATTACTGATATTACAAGGTTCTTCTAGCAGGAGCAGTAGCAGCATGGAGAACCATGGAGGCCATCTACACCAAGCTCACACTCAAAACAGGGTCAGCTTCAGAGATGGATCAGATTTCTCGGGGTCTAGTCTGTGAATGCTTCTAAAGCTGGAGATTTCACCACTGGAGTGTAGGACCCATGTGATGCTGTGAAATGCACCAGAAAGCCGCCCAGTTTGACAGCTTGCATGATCAGGCTTAAAACAGTTCTCAGAAGCATATAACCATTCGATACTTTCAAGATAATAAGATTTCAAAGGGATGCATGATTTTTAGTACAATATGATATATTCTTCGATGAGTTTTTTCTTACTCCTCATTTTCTATTGCTTCCTCTCAGAGCTCGTAATAATGAGAATTCATTTTCGCTTATTCCCATTCCCCATTCATCTAGCCAAAAGCAATTACACAGAGTAAGATAATTAAGGTGAGTACTGCAATAAGTGCATTGCTTGAAATTACAAGGAAACAAAAGAGGACATACAATCTTTGGCAGAGACATTCCCATTATCACTTTTCCATATGTGACATATTGAAGCTTTGAGATGGCGTCTTCAGCCAGACCACATTTTCTATGACACACTGCTGAGCCACTACAGGTTCATCTTAGACAGTGTATGGCACACTGGTGGTCCCTGTGTGTCACTGGATATTCATCTGGTCAGGACTGAACCATGAAGGGGAAGGGAGGCGTAGTATACAGCACCCTTGAAGAATTTTTATCTTTCTAATTGTTACCTGAACTTTCTTTTAGGAAAATAGGTACAAAAGCCTCACTGTAACTGTGCAATCAGCACACATTTAGGAAGTCAGACACAACCTGAAGAAGTCAATTTCCTGTGCAAAAGCAGAGAGGCTTTAATCATCTGGTCAATCAGTCTGAGAAATGTTGAGGAGGCAGATTGGTAAGCATTCTAAGGGGGCTTCACACCTCATATAAACTCGGCTGCTGAGCAGCAGCTGTGATCTAGCATTACCAAACCAGCATGTGAAATGGTCCCAATTCCTGGTCCTTGAGAGAAAAAGGGTTCAGGAGAGTTGTTTGATATTCAGAAACCCTGTGGTCTAAACTCAAGAATTATTCATCTCAATCAAATCAAGCAAAGGCAGCAGGAGACCAGCATGGATGTGCAGTGAGCTCCTGACAAAACTCAAATGTAAAAGAGAAGTACAGAGAAGGTGGAAGCAGGGACCGGGTGTCCAGAAGCAGAAAGTTGCCTGCCAGCATGAAATACTGGTCCCACCAGTATGTCTAATGAAGTCCCCCTCATTCTTTCAGCATTTCAGTCCACAAGCAGTGCAAGACATTCTAAGCAAAGGCATTTATCAGAGGAGGAGATGTGACTTTGCTTGCATGATAACCTTGTAGTCAGAGCACCTGTCTGGGTGGGTGTGGAAGCTCTGCTTATAACGTACTGAGCCACAGCCAAAGGGATGGACACACTCTGCTCTGCTGTTTTACTCTGAGGGAAGGACCCTCAAAACAGAATATGAGCAGATTATTGGGAATATATTAAACCATGATAACCAGATCAGTTAAGTATTTATCTATCACAGACACAGAAGGTAAGTTCCAAACTGTGAGACAGTGTCCCAAGAGAAATGGTGTAAATGCAGTCTGAAATATTTAGAAATAACCAATAAATTCATTGTTATGAGCATAGGAAATATATTGACACTGGATTGACTAGATGATTTATGGTCCTTGTAAATCTGAAATGGAGAAATATTAAGAAAGGAAGGAATCAGTACTATACTAAACTCTCCCTTTTTTTTGTGCAGAGGAATGAGAACAGCTTTATCTTTGATATGAGGGAGCATATTGCAAAGACTGATCCTTTCAAGATCTCTTTGTTTAAGCATGACTGCCTCCCTCAGCCAGAGCTTGCACTCTCCACAACATGGATCCAGCTTGGAGTCATCATCTTCTTCTTAATAATTTTTGGGTTATTTTCTGGCCTCCTGAACCAACTTAAAATACTCGTGTTGACTTCATTTTATCCTGACACAGAGATGAAACGGATACATTACTTGCATGCAAAATTACTGAAGAAAAGAGCAAAGCTACAAGAGAAAACCGGAAAGAACACATTTGCTAAAATGGTGAGCTATCAACTCTAGGGGAAAAAAAATAATCTCCCTCTGTCAGGGTGGTAGCTATACTAACTATACAGGATGTTAGTGTTTGGGTGATCTCTAACTCAGTAACGCTATGATCATAGTATCATATTTATGTCTTTTCAGGTCAACTTTTGGTTTCCAATACTGAAGGCAAGAGAGTAAGGAAGAAAGAAAGGAGTATGTTAAATGACAGTAGGGTATGGAACAGACAAGTGAATCTTTGGCTAAGGCAGAGATGTTCTAGCTCCACAGGAACCTGTGTTTCGCACACATAATGGCACAGCTTGTTTGTCATCTTCATGTTTGCCAGACACTGAAGATAGAAGATGCATCAGAGGTTGCCCATTGGCCTCTGGGCTGGCCAAGAACCTAACTAGAGGGCTTAGAATTTTCTAGACTTTCTGTTTATCAACCCTCAACTGCCCCAAACCCTTCAGCCTGGTTCTTTATCATCTCTAGCTCCATATACCTGCTCCTGACTCTGTAGCAGTCTTCTGCAGGGTGAATGCTTTATTTGCTCTGTCAATCTTCCAGCTCAGCTGAACTCTCCCTCGCACTTTGGCTTCCTTACTTTTGGTTATGCATCTCTCAGAAGTTTATAATCCTAGTCTCCCACATGGAATTCCTCACTTGGTTTTAATCTCCTCCTTTCACGTATCCATAGACTAGTTGCAGTTGCAATTGCTCGTGCAAATTGTCCTGTATCTTAGATGGTTGCAGGAGAGGCAATGAAGCATGTACAGAAGTGAGAGTGCTCACAAGAGCTAGAATACATAGGAATCAGGTGCTGCCAGTGGTGTAGGCATATGCAAGCAGAAATTAAAAATGTCTTGAATCTTGCAGTCCAAAGGAGCTTGCAGAAGTGGCAAAAATGGGCTTAATTATGTTGATAAAGCCACCACTTACTTCACTGAAACAAAACTGAGCCAATACTGAGCGCTTCAGCTATTTAACTAATGTTGGTGTTATGACCTTCATACGACACAAGAACAAATGCTAAAAGCATAAAGACATAGATTTTCTGATGGCTTGACTGCTGTGGCACCACCAGAGATTTTATGTAGAGATCAAAATCCACCACAGGTACTGTAGTCTTGATTTTCAGCCACAGCCAGCTTCTTCAAGTTGCATAATAGCAAATTCTGCTCTAATGCGTGCATGATCCCAGGACAGTCATTGATCTATGTCTATGTTATCTGAATGAATAAAGACTTATTTAAAGCTTTCCACTAGCAAGTGTCAGAAGTTATTTTCCACCTGAAACAGCAAAATACTGTCTCTTTTTTTCTTTGGATCTTCCAAATGAATCATAGAATCACAGAATAGTTAGGGTTGGAAAGGACCTTAAGGAAGCATCACTCTTCCATGGACACAGGTGGTTCAGGCTGCCAATGTGCCAACAATTTGTCTCTAGAAAATGAGGTGCTAGATTAAAGCCATGCATTTTTTACAGTTGTGCTGAATGTTCTCTGAGTGTCCTGACTATATTCTCTCTGCTAAAGTGAGTCAGCCCTGGATAGTAGCAGAATGTCATTTATATCCCAAGTACTACTGTCAAGACCCAGTAGCAAGCAGTACCCTGTTGAAAAAGAAGAAAAATGAAGCTTGCTTTAGATCTGCTTTCACAGACCAGACTAGTTATCCAGGTACTACTGACAAAGGGATATATTCATTCACTCTTGTTATCATTGCAAATGTAAGGGGAAGAGTTAAATGCCAGCAATAGTTGAGCATTTTTGGCTGAGTTTGGACAAGTTCATTGCTGGTCGGAGCCAGCTGTGCTCCTTTTAGTACCAGAGGACAGGCTGCTGAGAGGCCCTGATCTCCTACTTATTACAACATGAGAGGCGTGGAGAGGTCTGGCTGATGGCACTACCACAAAATGCTACTCACTTCACTTGGCATCAGGAGGTGATACTTGCTTTGGAGTTTCTTGCCTTTCTTGTTTGATGATGTGTTGCCACCTAGCATACTTTTTCTCTCAGTTGTTCTGCAAGAAGCAAGTGAAAGCTTTGCAGCATACGGGAATGGTTCACCAAAATGCCTCAGACAGGGGATGAGGCTGGGATATGATACTATGGCTGGGATAGATACCTAAATCTGTTAAGATTTTGAGTTCCGGAGTACACTCTTAGAACAATGCCATGTCTATACTTTGCATTTACATAAGAAAATTAAGCCTAGCGGGAATGACTGATTATGAAAAAGAGTAATCTTTGGTAGGGTAGGTGAGACTTTGCAGGTTTTACAGAACAGTGTTGTACCTGAATGCTGGGGCTCCCACCACTAACCAAAAGGGCAGCTTACTGAGTATTGTTTGGCTTGCCCCCTCAAACTGGCAATAGTCATGGCAGTGATAAAAGTCAATCCTTGAGAAACTAACTGTAATTCTGTACAAAATGTTCATCTCTGGTAAACATTTTACCTAGATGCTTGGCCTTGCTATCAGTGACAATTCTTTGTCCTGACCTTTATAGGTAAGACTGATCCTTAGCCATACTACGCCCCTCAGACCAGAGGGAAAGTCTGGACCAAGGAAGACATCCTTCATGAAGGATGGTGTGGTCAGGGAGCACTGGACATACTTAAGTTCATAGGACATGATGGGAGACACCCTGGGTGCTGAGGGTGCTAGCTAGTGTCGTTGTGAGGAAAATTTGATTATCTTTGAAAGGTCATGCTCATCAGGAGAGGTTACTGAGGAGTAGAAGAGAAAGACTATCACTCCCATCTTCAAAAAGGGCAAGAAGAAGGATCTGTGAAACTACAGATTTGTCAGGAAGTGATGGAGCAATTTCCCTCTGGACGCCATTTCCAAACATGAAGGCCAGGACTTGACTGGTATATCACCCAAACATAACAACACCTTTTTTACTGTGAGGGTGGTCAAACACTGGAACAGGATTTCCAGAGAGGTTATGGAGTCTCCGTCCTTGGAGATACTCAAAACCCAACTAGACATGGCTCTGAGCAACTCAGAGCAGTGGGCCTGGAGCAGATATCTGTAGAGGTGCCTGCCAGTCTCAGCCATTCCAATTTGGTGACTTTTACACACAGAAGTACAGGAAAAATATTAGACATGCACAACAAAAGCTTGTGTTAATTTGTGAATGTGCTGTGCCAGCACCAGGGTGCCACCTGAAAATATTGTTGCCATTACACTTACAGTGGAGTCACGCACTTGAGTTGAATAATGCACTGTTTGTTTCTGTGACCATATCCATGCATACCTGTGTGCTGAAGGTGAGTTGAATGACAGGCAAAGGCATAAGTTTGCTCTTCCCTGTCTCCCTTAACCTGGGTTACCTAGGAAAATGTCACATGCTGCACATTTTAAAATTCTAAAACAAATTCACCTTCAGCACCTCAAAGACACTGAAGTTTATCTCAGTGGTAGAACAATTCTTACCATGATCTACAAGTACTAGGTCTATTCCTTCAGCTCTCTTTAGTTGTACAGGTCTGCCTCTCCCCTGGCATTACAGATATATAACTCTCATTCTCTGCAGAACTCACTTGTTTCTGTCCTGTGAGCTGGGGAAGTCTGGGGACTTGTTTATCTTCAGCTGTCGCCTCTGCACGTTGTTCAGCTATTCCCTTGGCCTCTCTGTTTACCATAACCCTCAACCACACGATTACATTGTTCTTTTTCTTAAAAAAAAGAAAAAAAAACCCAAACAAAAACCCTCTACGAGTTATAATAAAAACCCAGTATTCCATCCACAATTATTTCTGTTCCTCTTCTTGTCTACCCTCTCCTCACATTTCCTACATTTTATTTTGGCTCTTTTCCCCTGTCTTTGTCATTCAAAGTGTTTTCCTCTTTTGGTATGTTTTCTTCTTCTCTGAGATCATTCTTCCCCACATATAAAAACATGTATTTTTTTTTCTGCTGAGCACAAATGAACTACAGGTACAGTTAGAATTAAGGATTTTATTTATTCATTTATTGAGTTAATGGAAATTTTTAGTATCTTTCACATTCCTGGGCATTGTCTCTAACTGCTTCTCTAGGGCTTGTCAGAAACGTGTTCAGCACTCAGAACAAGAGTCTGAGGAGAAGTCTGGATTTGGCTTTTGACTCATTCATCCCTTTCCTTCCCCCAGCTCACAGTGGACCTCAACTTCCTTTTTTTTAAATGCCCTTCACCAGTGCAGAAGCTGTTTGATTTTTTACTGTGAAAAATCCCCCAAATGGATCAAATCTGGTTTGTAAAATTAATGAAAGGCTGACCTGATTGTCTTGTGAAGATAATTCAGAGAGACATGACAGGGCTCCTGACCCTCCTGAAGCACAATACAAACAAGGACGCTTCCTTTCAACAACCATCTTTACAGAACTCTCCTTATCACCAGCCCATACTCCTGAACTTGGCTTGCTTGATATCTAAACCAAGACTCTATTTTTTTCTCTGTGTGTTTTGCTGCAGCATTCCGTGTGGGCAGTTGGGTGTGCAAAGTCAGAGAATGCTGGGTTTACAACTGCTTTCACCCTGCTCCCTGCTCTGTCAATATTGTCATGATGACTCACTGTGTTTTCATCAGAGTTTAAACAGCCCAGAGATGCTGGCAATTAAAGAAGAAATGAACAGTCAAAGCCTTTCCTCTAGTTTTGTTTTACATATCAAAAGTGCAAAGTACGGATCAAAGGATCACTCTCTGCTGGTGCTGAAATAAAGGCTGAAAATGGAGGTGTTATTGCCTACTCTGTGGGCACAGACTTCAAAATACGCAAACGTGCTTCATGGGGGCTATTGTGCATGAGAGTAACTTCCTTCTCATTTCATACCCGATACATAATACCAGCCCTGCCCTCCAGTGGCCCAGGAAAGCCACATGCCCCAGTACTGCAACTCTGCAGAGATCCCCTGGTACTTCAGGCTGAAGAGAGAAGCACTGCAGGTGTAGGTGCTTGCACCACAGACAGTGGAAGGATAGCAGACAGACAATCAGACAATAAACACATACTGGCTATATGAGGATTTCTCTGGCAGATGATGGTATTCTGTGATTCTATGGGGATGAAAACAATATTAGGTATGCCAGGATCAGATCTCCCAAATTCCTTCTCTGCTCCTGCACCTAGAATTCACGCTACCAGGAAGAATCAAGTTCTAAAGATCCCAGATTTCTGTCTTGCTGGGGAGACTGATAAAAATATGGTTAATAGAGGTTTTTTCCTTACTTTAACAATTTATTTGAGTCTTCAACATTACCATAGAAGAGAGAAGAGAAACCAGCTAGAACTGCAAAGAGAAGTGCTAAGCAAGAAAAGCCTGTTCTGTGTTTCGGCCTTGAACAAAACAGATACTCAGATTCTTTGTACTGAGACATACTACTTCAGAGAAAAAAGGGTTTAATGCAGCAATGCCATTTCTCAAAGCAATCAGATAGTCTACGCTACTTGAGTGACCAATTGACTTAAGGAAAAAAATCAAAGAAAGCAAATGTTTTTTGCAGTTGGTGCTGGAGAAGCCTGAAGATTGCGGCTAAATAAGATAGGACTCAAACATCTGGGAAAGGCATTGCATTTCTATCCTGTAAATGGCTCAAGGAAACTGTGTGGGCTGCTAAGGTTATCTTTAAACCGAATTTCCAACCTAATGTGGGGCATCTCTTGTCTTAGAACAATTATAGCACAGCTCAGCAATGACTTCATGAGAATGAAATAAGCAAGTGATAGCTGGGATGAAGATGTAGGACAAATACAGAAGTCTTGTCAGGGTCTACAGACTCAGGCAGGACTGAGAGACCTCTCAGTGCTCCTTCCAGTGCTCCAGTTCAGGACCTGTGCTGACATAAATGTGTTTTATAATCCCTGTGCATGCCAAATTAACTAAATGTCTACTAGAAAAAACATTTTACTGAATTTGGCTCTGGTATCACTCATTACTGGCGTTATGGAACAGGGACCTGAACAGTTCCAAAATTATACCCCTATGAAGAATCCACCACTACCGTGTGCCCCACATAAGTGTAAAAGGAACAAGGATTGCAGTGATTTGGAGCCTGACAGTCTCAACTTTAGTAGTGGTCCTTAATAGCACAGCTGAAATACTTCTGATGTCACACAGTTTCTCAAGGGTTATTACTTGGCACTTGGTAAACAGAGGCAGGATTCAGTTACTAGGGCCAGCATGTGTCATGGCAAAACAAATATTACAAATCTGACAGGCTCAGTAACTTATTTCTTTCATGGACTTAAAACCACAACTGATACTTTAGTGTAAACCCCTGTTCACAATATGCAGGTAATTTTTCATCATGATAATTAAAACAGTCATTGGAATTAAAAAGTAAGTGTTAAGAACAAAATCCAAAGGATACCTCCTGGGAGGAGAATAATCCATGCTACAGGGCAGTAAATACCAACCTAAGGATTAGGAACTCTGCTAGTTGTACAGAGAGAAGCTTCTTCATAATTAAATAAAAATCTATAGGAAATCTAAAAAGATTGTATTTTTTTTCCATAGATAATATGCTTTCAAGGTTTGGAGAGTTCACGTTACAAAATGGGTTTTTATGTAACCCATAAAATTACTTTCTGTTATCACACTGTGAAAACATCTGTTTTTAGAAAAATCACTAACTTGGTTCGTTTGGGCTTTCATGATCTGCAGTCTTTTGTATGACTTTGATCGCAGTAGGTATCCCAAGAACCCAAAGGACATTTGAAAGTACTGGGTATGTCCACAGTATCCAAAGGACTGGCAGTCTTTATTCCTCGGTTTCATTTCTGACATAATTGAATCATTTTGGCCCTCAGCAACTCACTTAAGCCAGCACTGGATGTTAAACATAAGGCAACTACATATATTCTCCATCACTTGAGTGATTTCAGAGGTTTGAGCATCCATAGTTTTCACAGCCTTTACTTGTCTCACAGATATATCATGCAATTGCAAGGATCTGACAATTATTAAAACCTGAAGCCTCAGATGAAAGACTATACAAATATAAGATACTGTTGAAATTAGAAATAGGTCTTTCCCCCACCCCCGACTTTTCCCCTACTCTTCCCAAATTCCTGCTTTTCTACAAAGCAAAACATTAATTAAAAAGAATGGATTCATGATTGGCACACACTCTTGACAAGACAAAACATAAGACAGGAATTCTTCATACCAGAGAGTTCCAGGTCTGAGAAGCAAAGACAGGCTACATAGAAGACTATTGCAGAGTAGACATCTGCATTATAGTTAGTCACACTCTTTGTAGTTAATGGAGACAAACCATCATTGCAAGAAAACTACTAAACTACTCATCCCATCCTGAAGAACAACAGTGGACAGATTCATCTAGCTTGGTTTAGATCTTGATGCAGAGATGAATAATGTTCCAGAAGAACTCTCTGCTGATTGCAGAGGGACACTAGACAACAAACTCAGATGCAGACAATTACAGAAGTCAACACTGAACTCTGCTCCCTTGTAATAGTCATTGTAATAGTGCTAGATGCCTCTTTCTGCTATTCTGCCACCCCAAAAACAACCTGAGAAATGGCAGCCTGTGCTAGCTCTTTCTTAACATCTCCATTATTACCCTCCATCATCTTACAAAGAAAACTGTACTTTGCTATTTAGAGACACAAGAATTACAGATTTAGTAGGAGCTTGTTTCTGGTACAAGCTCATATATCACTGTATGCCTATGGATATAGCAGGAACTATAAGTCTGCTTTCCACTACAAATGAAAAATAACAGTAATTATTACATGCTTTCTGTATCTGTCTTATAATATGAAAGTCTTTCTGTACCTGTTTGTCCCAGGGGTTGCACAGAAAAGCAGGTTATACTATTTCTACACATAGAACTATGAACTCACTGAATGGGTGTTTTTGTGTTAGCTTCATTTCTAAACAGTTGCTTAAAAAGAAGGGCTATCATATGTGAAAATGCAACTTTAAACAACATCATAGTTTTCCAAGGTAAAACCTGTCTAGACATGCTAATAGTAACAGAATCATGCTTCTAAGAACACAATTACCTCTCAAATGGGAAATCAAATAAATTGAACAATTGAGATTTTTTTAAATTAGGAATTCTATTCTACACAATCTAAAGTATTAGCTACATTGCGAAAAACCTCACATTTTAAAGTAAAAAAAAAAAAAAAAAGTTTCTGAAATCAATACATTATGTTGTGCTCTGATGTTCCCACTTCATAAGCCTTTAAGCTGTGGGTTATGTCTCTCCATAACACCAGAACTCCAAACAGTATTGTAGGTGAATTCACCAGTATGGTTAGCATAGCTTTGCCTAGGGTGTAGCAAACAAAACACTTGAGCACACCAAATAATGCTTGGCTATGCAGAGACAAAATGTATAAACTCCTTTAAAGACAAGGATATGGACATGTAGCAGCAGCTCTAAAATAGTGGCAACTCTTCTGAATCAGCATTTTTCTGTCCTAACCTGTTCCAGAAGGGAAAAACAAAAATCAAATTCAGCATCTCTATCAGAATTCTCTGCACTGCTAAGCACAACAGAGATCTTCCTAACACGTGAAATTAGAGAATTAGGATCCATCTCCTGCGACCTAACAGAGCAAGAATGTAGAAAATGTGCTTAAAGGCCATTGCATTGCTTTTACTTTATAGGTTAGCTGATACCTTCTAAAGATAAATATTAAGCAATATCATGCCCAAACTTACCTACTTTTAAGAACCTACAGAAGTGTTACCACGTTATAATTTTATTTATTACTCCATTTTCTAAAAAGAATTTTCCAATTCTTACAACAAATTTCCTTTTAAAGGGAAACTGCAATGACAACTTTTCATGCAGGAAGCTCAGTATAATGTTTATTGGTTGCTGTTCTTTCATATTGGCTCATGAGAAGTTGATTGTAGATTGATTGTTGGAAACAGAATGCACTTCTTTGGTGGGACAGCAGGGTGATTTTCATTTGCTTTTATCTACAGAGAAGAAGAAGACAATATGACATAATCTTTCAAAAGAAATTATCCGCTCTGCAGTTTGTCACTCAGAGAGGTAATAATGGAGGAAGAGTGCTAGGAGCTAGAGAGAATGTTATTGCTCCTTCATTCTACTGCAGCTTTAGCCTTTAGTCCTCTCTATTACAAAAGCTTTCTCCCTTATGTCAGAGGAAAACAAATAGGATTCTGCACCCTGTTGCTGCTACTGATGCCCTGGGTGAGGTTCACTGTGAGGTAGTTTTAAAGGAATGCTACAATGGAATGTGGAAAAGCTAACTTCATTCTTCTACCACTGCAGGTTTGTCCCTATCCTCATTAATTAGCACTGAGAATTGACCTATTTTATGTGAGGGGCTTTACACCCGTACATTGGGAAATCCTTTCTCGAACTGGCTGATTTCACCCAGAACTCAGCCTGGATTTTGTCATGCTTACTGCTACTCAGTGTCCCCCTGGCTCATATTAATCAACTCTCCTGCTGCAGTGGACAACACTTCAGCTGCAGGTGGCATGCAGCAGCATCATGTCTCAATTGGGATTGCTGAAGGTCTTAGTTCTATTTTTTCCTGGGGCATTTCTTTTGCTTGTTAAAAAATTAAAGAGTGAGGTGTTGTTGCCTAGTTCTCTCCAGCTGCCTTATCCTACCCATATGTTGCACTGCTAGGTTCCCTTGCTGGTTTCTTCTGAGAGACAGTTCAACTCACAAAGCCAACAGAAAACTAACCCAGAAAAAAGAAGCTAATTGTTTTCTGCTGTCTTAGCAAGTCAATCAGCTCACAGAAAGATCCACTGAGCACTACAGCATATAAAGGTCAGGGACTGTCAATACCAAGCTAAGCACCCTGGACACTGTAGGGGGGGAAGGGGAGATGCTGGGTGCTATTCCCCTGTTAGCAGCACTGAGCTTTGCGTAGCTCAATCATCTATTATACCCCTCCTGGCACTGACTGCAGCACCTCTATTGCGTGAAGACAGCTGTGGTTCTTGCAAACCAGATCTATCAGCTTAACCAAACAGTACAACTGGTGGAAAGTTATTGTCTGCAACACAGGGACACTAAAGAATATATTTTTTACATCCAGCTGTTTTTGTTTGTTTGATTGTTTCCCTGTAAATTTGCAAGCCGAACAATTATGCTCTCTGTATTCTTGGTGCTAACTGAACTCAGGTTTTCCATGGACCTTCATATCCATGCCTTAGTCTAGAAGTTAAACTCCATTTGCATCTCTCAATTGAGCTTTCTAATTGAGGCTCCAATCAGAAAGAGGTCCCCCCCAACCTGGGCTCTCACACATTTTCATCAAATTTAAAGATACCAAGACAACTCAGATTCTGAGAAAGCTTATTTCAGACAAGCTTGTCACAGTCTGGACGACCTGCTACACTTTCATTTTCTTGAAAGTTTCAGAAAAGCATTTAGTAAAGAAGTTTTCATTAATCAAGAGACAGTTACCTGTAAGAGCCACAACTGGTGAATGAGCCTACTGGTTTTGTGTGACCCATGTTTCTGAGACCATGCCCGTATAAGGTGCTCTCTTTACAGGAACAGGCTGACAGACCTGCAAGAAAAATGTCACAAATCTTTCACTATTATTTGTCTTCCTTTTGCAATTGCTAATTGGACACAATGAAAATAGCAGTCCTGTGATAACCCAGCTTTGTATGTTATGCATCCCAACACTTTCATCAAACCTCTCTCTTATAAAGATCCCTTACACTGGGATCAAACTGTACAGTTCTCAGCTTTCATCAGGAGCTGGTTGGCTCAATTTCTTCAGCACTGTAACAAAGCAATTCTAAACCATTTTTATTTTTTTTTAAAGCAACTGACCATGTTACACCTCATTTAATTGATGCTTCTCCCCTTGGAGACTTAAATAATTGCAATGTTCTCTTACACAAAAAAGAATGACCCAAATTTTGGCTGCTGTAATGCCAGTATAAATCTGCTCTCAATAGCTAGTTTTTATTACCATTACCTGGTATTTATTTTGCATTAAAAGCCAAAGGGATCAACATTGCACAACAAAACTCACTAACAAAGTACCAAGTATATTCAGAGTCGAGTGGATTAAATAGACTCACAGGCACATACAACTTTGCACATGATACATATCCCAATTAAGACAGATCCATAGAACTGTGATTTCTAAGAGGAACACTGCAAAGACAATCTATCTGTATTAAAAATTCAAAATGAATCTACTGTAGGTGAGCAGTGACCTTTGGAGCAACTGATTCAATTGAGCTGCATATTCAGTGGAAAGGGAAGATCTTTTCTTCATACAAATTCACAGTTAGGACTACTGGCTCACTTTTCTACTAGGCCTTGAAAGTTCTAGAGGCAGAGATTATTTTCTTTGCCCTTCCTTTCCCCTAGAAACATTAATGTTCATTCACATTGAAAAGGTGAATAGAATATATAAAATTTGTGGACAGACTTAAATGAGGGCTACGGTTTCAAAATAAAAGCAAAGTAGAAGCAGCACAGCTAGATACTAACAGTTAAATAATTGTAGTTTGTCTAATTTACCGTGACTTGTACTAGTACCAAAAAAAAAAAAATAAAGAAAAAAGTGTTCCTTAGTCTGGAAAACCCAAACCTCCAAAATGCAATAATAAATGCAATAATCTGTTTCCTGTTCTTTTAGTCCCCAGGGAAAAACTGTGTGTCAGGAGGGGACTTCCCTGCCTATCCACTGTATTATGTGCAGGCAGCCCACCAACCCCTCTGAAAGGGTGATTTGGAGGAAAGCCTCACTCAGTCACTTTCACATGCCTTTCTCAGTCCACCAAGACAACAACAGGAAGAAATATACAGAATTACCTTGGAAGCATTTCAATGGGCTATATCTCACATGGATGCTAGTCTGATTCAGCTTTTAGGTCTTGCAGTGAATCACACTGATTAAGGTTGTGATTTAAAAATATACTTTAGCTACTTCTGAAACTGCTTATCACAACTGAGCTACACTAAGCATGCAAAAGCATTCTTCATGAATGCTTTCATGGAAAAAAGGCAATTGAAAATTCAATCTTTATGTATTTTGCAACATTTTTCTTAAAAAAAAACAACCTGAAAACAAACCAACAAAAAACTGCAAGAAACCCCCCCCAAAACAAGAGAATTGTCTTGATTGGTCCAGCAGTGCACTTTTTGCACATGTTCATCTTATAACACATCCTTAGAATCATAGAATAGTTAGGGTTGGAAAGGACCTCAAGATCATCTAGTTCCAACCCCCCTCCCATGGGCAGGGACACCTCGCTCTAAACCATATCACCCAAGGCCTGGAACACTGCCAGGGATGGAGCATTCACAACCTCCCTGGGCAACCTATTCCAGTGCTTCTCCACCCTAACAGGAAAGAATTTCCTCATAATATCCAATCTAAACTTCCCCTGTTTAAGTTTTAACCCATTACCCCTTGTCCTATCACTACAGTCCCTAATGAAGAGTCCATCTCCAGCATCCCTATAGGCCCCCTTCTGATACTGGCAGGCTGCTATGAGGTCTCCACACAGCCTTCTCTTCTCCAGGCTGAAAAGCCCCAACTTTCTCAGCCTGTCTTCATATGGGAGGTGCTCCAGTCCCCTGATCATTCTTGTGGCCCTCCTCTGTACTTGTTCCAACAGATCCATGTCCTTTTTATGTTGAGGACACCAGAACTGCACACAATACTCCAAGTGAGGTCTCACAAGGGCAGAATAAAGGGGCAGGATCACCTCCTTTGACCTGCTGGTCATGCTCCTTTTGATTCTTGCTGGAATGGAGCTAAGTCTTCAATATTCTAAAGAGTTTAGCTCTAAATATCTGATCCATGAAAGAGTTAGAAAATTACTGATTCCTTCCTCAGTCTAAGACTTCTTCCTGCCCATGATGTTATGCCTGTTTGTTTTCCAGTGAACTCAGTGATAAAATGTAGCAGTGAGTCATATTATTCATGAGCAAAACTTTGTCCACTTTTATTGGAAATGAGATATGTCTATTTCAACAAGCACTCAGGCTAAGTCTACAAGCTGTACAGAGTACCGTAAGACCAGGAACTAGTCTGTGACATTTTTCTGTAAGATAAAGAGCAATAAAAATTGAGTCCTTAGTTTCATTTTCTCCCACCTTGGCAGATTTTGATTAGTAAGGGAAATTACTATTGAATCCCCAAACTTCTCTTCCTAAGAGCTAGTTATCCTCATGCTGCAGAAAGCATTACAGAGATTTATTAGTTTAATTAACCTGCTCTTGCTGCCGGATTCGTTCGTAGACATATGGAGGGAATGGTGGACGGGAGACATACTTTCCATCTCCTGCTGTGACATTGAAAGCTCCACCTTCATAAACTACTTTGCCTCTTGAAACTGTTGCAACTGGGACTCCATGGCAGACCATTCCTTCAAATATATTAAAGTTGTTGGCCTGATGATGTGTCTTTGCAGATATTGTCCTGTGTTTACAAAACAAAACAACACCCAAAATTGCTCTGATTCTTGCATTTCACTTCATTACAAAATTTTGAGAAACTGATACAGGAAGAAAAATTAGCAGCTTTATTAAACTACAACATTGTACAGTACATCATGGAACAGCTGTAAAAATAGGATCAAGCAATAGCATTTCACTGAACAGTAATTGTATTTCAAAAGAATGAAGAGGGAGTCAAAAGAACAGAACTTTGCAGCCTTGAAATGCAAAATTTTCCACTAGAAAGGGGTTGGTGGAAAAAAAAATCAGGCTGTAGTATGTTATTTGGATAACATGATTTCATTCTGCCTTGTCAAGCAAATATCTATGCATGATAAAGTCAGAAAAAGCTCTGACCTTTTAACTAGAATGACTTGCAATTTCAAGTTTTAAAAGCATGGCTGCAATGTTTCAAAGATTGAGACTCACGAATAACACAAACAGTATTTCACTGAAAAGTCAGTAGATGGTTATGAATTTTGGTAACTCTTAAGTGAGCTGGATTGATCCAGTGACTGACAGCCCAAATATCTCGATGCTGCTAAATAGTAATGAGAACATCACACTTCTACACACCTTTCCTCCAACTGTTTTAAGCAAATTTTAGACCTCAAAAGTACTCATTTGAGCTACAATATTATTGCTTTGTTTATGCATAGATCTTACTCTTTATGGTCACCATTTTGGAGCCAATTTCTCCAGCCCTAACTGGTTACATCAGAAGCAGAGCCAATGCTACAGCTGACATTAGCATCTGGAAGTGCAGGCTGTGCATTCTTTTTTTATTATCTATTTTCCCTACTGAGCTACATACTAGTTACTCTACCTAAGATGTGATTTTGAATTTTAGTGAATTATTTTGCTAATTTCCCGTTATTTTTTACAGTACGCAGAATTATATTTTTACTGTCATCTATATTTTCTGAAAGGAAGGAAGCTTCATGCTTTTGTCTATCAGTCAGAATTTTCCAGAACAGGTGCTCTCACAATCAAAAACCTATAATGCATATACAGCATTAACATTATTCCAGAGACTACATCTTCTGCAAAAGAATTATCAAAGTCAAAAGTAATACGAAATATTAGTAAAATATCAATCTATTTGAAGAAAAAAAAGTTTCTAAAACTTCTGTTAACATCTTTATGAAAATGTAGAAACCACAACCAAATCTGTATCTTTCTGGAAGTATATCCATTTTCAAAAGTAATCACATACCAAATATTTCAGATGGTTATTTATACAGAAAAAAAAAAAAAAGAATTTGTGGAAGAATACTTTGTTTTCCTTTTCTATCATTTTGCTGAACTGGCTCACTAAAAAGCTGGTTCCACTAAGGGATACATTTAAATCTTGCTGGCGACTGACTTTTCAAAGGCTGTGGATATAGAAATACTCTCTATCACCAATCTGCCCATAGGAATAAAAACTTTTCCTTATTCAGCACACACTGAACAGAAAACTTATGCATTCTTGCTCAACCAATATCGTCATCATTTTGTGGATTCACAGTGGAAAGAGTGAGCAATAGAAGTCAGTCCCCTCTTTTATTCATCGGTCCTATGAACACTATCAAACAACTTTATCCGTGAGGGTTATGATAGCCTTACAAATAGTTTGTGAACATATTCCTCTAGCTCATTGCACTGGCCTTATGGGACCAATTGTTAGGGCAGTAAGTAAGAACAACTGTAATGTAATTATCTTTAATATTCTCTGAGTATATATCCTACCTATTTGCACAATCACACTGGGACACAAAAGAAAGATGGAAAAGGTAATTTGAGCAAACAAACAGAAAAATAAGATCCTTCAACTCGTGAGCTGTTTAATTGTGCTACTGCAGGATCAGTAGACATAAACATGCCTCACAGATAAGTACATCCCTCATAAAAAGATACAAAATGAATGGAAGTTAGCACTTTTCAAAGTAACCTCCGTTTGTACAGCTAAACCTTATAATATGACAAAACACATTTCCCAGAGCTTGTCTCAACAACAAACTTGTATAGAACTCATTTATAACTCCTGTGTTGAAGCAAGCCTTAGATCACGTTGCCCTTTCTGAAGGTTGAAGAGCATTCTCCTTGATGGAGATCACCAAAATTCATCTGTGATTTAACCCTTTGACATCACCACTGGCAGTGAAAGTTTCAGGTGGCAAGCAAGCAACCAATTGAAACAGAATTAGACAGTACACTTGGTCTGAAGCTCTCAACTCAGCAACCTTATGCAACATACTTTTTCCTGCTGTATCAGCCATTTCAGTAGTAGGCAGCTTGCTGGGAATGTTAGGGAAATTCCACTGTTTGTTCCAAATGCCTGAACACTATTGACTGTTCAGCTAATAGGAAGAACACCTGTAATCTACTTCTTATCCATGAAATCCAAGATTTTGTATGCTGCAAGGGTTATTACTTTAATTTCCAAGGTGGTTAGAAGAAAATGAAGAATGTAATTACTTTCAATGGAAACTGGATGTATACCTCACATGGTTTTCTTGAAAATTTCCAGGTACAGGAATATGAAGGAATTCTGTAGGTGACAGCCCTTAGGCAAGAACAGCTGCTCAACATCTCAGTAAAGGGAAGACACCTATTTTAGAATTAGTTCATTAATTTAAAACATAGTAATAAAGGCAGCCATAATGAGCTATAATGAGTCCATTGTTGACAAGAAAACAACTGCTTCTTGACAGCTGCCATAGAAACCCAACTTATGTAAGGGCGAGTATTTGAGCTATAAGCAACTTCTCTCAGTGCTTACAGTGCAGTATCTCTGAGCTTTTTGGAGCTGGGGTAGGTGAGAAATGCCAGTTTTCTGAATAGCATCAGCCTTTGAGAGCTGCCTCTTCATGTCACTTTCAGATGCCTTTGAACTCTCTAGATTGTTAAACTGCTTTTCTAAAATCTAGGCATCTATTTTGTCTGTTCACCTTTCTGTGCTGTCCTGAGCCATTACTCATTTATAATACTAATCAAGTTGAAGTTTGTTAATGTTGGAGTCATTTTTATTAAAAAGAAAAGAAGGGGAAAGAAGAGAGAGATGAAAAGGAAGAGAAAGTCTTAAAACCTATGTAAAAAAATGCTAGCTATAAGCCTATAATGTGGATTATAAACCTGATGGCCTATTTTATATTAAGGAATAGCAATGACTGTACATGCAAATACTTGGAGGCAACTTTTTGTAAAGCTGTATTCCTAGGTTCTTAAAAATATCTTTAAATATGTGTTGCCTATGAGTAGCCATATCAAGTGAGGAGATTTGTGCATAAAACAACAGATGCAAGAGGTAGGAAGTTAATATTTGGGAGCTCCAAGTCCAAGCAACTTACTTGAGGGACAGGATCTTTATTTTATGCAATCATATCTCCTAAAATTCATCATTTTGAAGTGGGTAGCAAGTGAGAACAGAATAATTTTTCTGATTATAGTAACTCATTTTTCAACAATACCATCGGTCTGGTCCTGTCAATCACTCCAAGCTGATAGGGGATGGAAGTGAAAATTCTCAAACAGTATAATGTGCAGGAAAGACTACTGAGAAATTAAGCTTTCAGAAAAGCATAAAAAGAAAGGAAAATACAAATTAGTCTATTCAATATCTAAAGAGGCTCTGGAAGTGATTACCAGAGAGAAAAATGCAAGGTTATATAAGGAGAAAATAAGAAAGATTTAAATTTTGGGGTGTAACATTTCTAAAATTCAGTTCTCTAAAGAGAGCAGCTGACATTTGGTGAGACAGCAAGTTTCTAGGGAAACGTACATCATGCTCACTCAGAGAGGCTTATTTTGTTACAGTTCACAGAATCACCGAGTCATTGAGGTCCAAAGCATCTCTGGAGATCATCTATTCCAAGGCCTGTGCTCTGATCAGGGTCAGCTAAACTAGGCTTCTCAGGCCATGTCCAATCAGGTTTTAAGTACCTCCAAAAATGGAGAGACCATAATCTCTTTGGGCAACCCGTGATCATCCTCACAGGAAAAAAACAAAACCAAAACCAAACAAAAAACAACCCACAGTTATTTCTAATGTTTAAATAGAATTTCCTGTATTTTAATTTGTGCCTATTGTTTCTTTCTCCATGTCCCCTTTATTTAACAGTCCTTTGACAGGAACTCTGATTCTAGTGAATTAGTGTACATTCATGCATGCACATGCTTCCACTTGTGCAAAAGAACATGAGGCTATTGAAAATGCCAGAATATACTTCTCCTATGCATACTTATTTGTATGCCACATTATTTCATTTTGCCTTATTGTGTCTAGATGAAGTTATCCATATACTCAGTATTCAAAATTATGCTCATTCATCAAAAGAGTAAGACAGTTGCAGCATTATTTTCTAATCATCTGCTAAAATCTTGGTTTCTTCCCCTTTCATCTTATGAAAAATTACAGGCAATGAGTGTTTAAATGTTGTAACTTGTCCCTAGTTAAGACTCTGAGGGTGAAGACTTGAACAGAAATGAGACAGACACAGGCTGCAGATTTTGCTTCTAAAAAATGAAAAAGATTTCCCCATGAACATATCTACACACAAAAAAAGTCATTGAGGAAACAAGCCAGCAGACCTGGACACTGACTACTCCCCGATTCGCGTCCAGTGACTGTTTCCCCTAAAATGCATAAATGCATAAACACTGGAAACAGGCTGTTAACCGTATCTTCCCTAGTCATGTCATAGCAGGTAGGTTACAGAGTAACACATTCCTTTCCCTCCCTCTCCTACTCATCTGAGAACTCCTGCATTCCCTGCTAATCATGGACCCTGTTCCATCAGCTGTGAATTTGGGGCTGCAGTCACCACTGACTGGCCTAGCTATCAGGGTTGATGCCAACTCCACTGGCACATGTGGGGCACTCTCGGGGCCTGCCATGAAGGGACACTCCAGCAGAGCTCAAGTAGGATGGCATGAGAGACTGCTACAGCACAGCCAGCTCTGCTTCTGCATTCAAAAGACCGTTTAGGGTCTATTTAGTGAGTGGTAAAAACCTGATGGGTGAGGTTTCCCAGACTGCATGCTGTTATAATAAAGTGGCTGGACTTAGCAAAACTCCATTTGAGACAAGTGTTTTTATCCCTAAAGGTGTTTGATCTTGCCTTTGGGGCCTGATCCAGGTCTTATTTCCAAGGGTCCGACAGGCTACAGTGAGTTTATTGAGCCCTAATATCTGCCAGGAGCTTAATCTGTCTTACGAGATCTTTAGTACCTTCTGCCCCTACTTTACAAGGGATGCTTAGCTCTGTCCACAGTCTGAATTGAGTACTGCAGTACTTAGATTCCCTGCTGAGCATTTCTGAAACAAGCCATAGAGATCCTATATTCTTGCTTGCTTTCAAATAGCTAAAGGCATCAGCTATAGAGGACACTAACTTGCTGACAGGTGACACTCCCTTTCCCTTGCTTACTCTACCTTCTCCTTCTGGAACAGTCTTTACAGTTGCTTTTGTTTCACAGTCTTGGGGCTGTTATACTATTTGTGTGTAGCTGAAAGAAGTCTGCGAACATTCCTGATGAAAGAACAGATTAAAATAAGACAGTACATATTTGCTGCCTACATGCATTTTCCAAGGAATACTCACAAAACAGTGATGTGTGCACAGCCTGTGCATAGGGATGTTGAGGGTGTTAAGGTCTGCAAAATGGTGATTGATAGCACATGATGCAATAAATGAACAGGTTACTTTGGTATTTGTGTGTTCTTTAATGAATATCCAATAAGGAAGCCAAGAAATAGACCTAATGTCAGAATTCACAACCCATCTTTTTACTACACAAGTTTCTAATTTATACATTTAAAATATTCCTATTAATGCTTTCTTTCATGTAGACCTGTTAAATCAGTATTTAGAAGCTTTTAAACAGTGTAGAAAATCTGATAACTGTTCATATAACATTTTCTGCAGAAATTACCATAAAAAACTACAGAAACAGACCAGTCACTGAAGCTGACCCGTAGAAGACAAGCCTCAGCAAAAGCAGGAGAGTGCTGGAAGTGGAACCTTGAATAATTGCAATTGTTCACAGCTTGCAGAGATGTCATGTTGAATTCACTAGGTTTTTGCAACCTAGAAAGAGAAAATCCTGAATGCCCAGATAGCACCCAACATGTTGCTATTATGCAATGATGTGGGAGGGAAAATGAAGCTGATTTTGTAGGAATATAAGTTTTTGGGTTTTTTTTTAAGAGCTTCACTACCTTTCAGAAGGACTTAAGAATCATCATTATAGACTTTCACAGATTGTTATAATACCAATTCCTCACAGCAATACTTCAGAAATTGTCTAACTCTTTAGGCTAGTATCAGACAGTATTTTAAGATTACAGGAACACAGCATCAAATCAGAACTGGAAAACTGCGTTTTCCTCTTACAAGATTTAGCAGTCATGCTCGAAAGTGGAAGGACTTAGCAAGAAAGAGGAATAAGTCTCTTGTGAAATTGAAAATCACTCCTTAGAGTCAACAAAGCACGAGGCTGCACCTTGTGTAATACCTTAAAAGGCTGAGGTCCATTAGCTCGATCCTTTTTTTTTTCTGCTGGGCTGTTAATGCCCTCTTCAGGATTTGTAGTGAAATGAATAGACAAGCACTAGTAAGATTTGGTTATACTTACTTAGTTCACACAATTGTAGCTGGTAGAGAGGCTTGTTTCCAGAAAAGCCAAAGGGATAAACAGTGGGAACAGTACCAAAGCAGGAAAAAAGTTATTAGCTGAACTTATATTCAGGTTGCTCAGTAAGAAAACGTGGTTTAATGTTTGAAAAAATATTTTAAGAACTGCACCTTCACAGCTGCAGTAGGCAAAATGCAATTTGAGAACTCAGGAGAGTGAAAGGAGGCAGAAGGAATGTTTGAGAGGCAAAAGGATAAATAATTACAGGAGCTGATGAAGCACCTTGAGAACAATGTCAGAATTTTGCTATTCTAGATTCAGTTGTCCCCAGGCAGAGCAGAAGTTGAGCTCAGAAATGAGTCCTTCAGGATTTTATAATTAGAGTTCATAGCTCCATTGTACTGAAATACTCATTGGTAGCATCTCAAAATATGCTTGCTCAACATGCAGGAAGGCATAATGCACATGAAAATCTCTCTGACCCAGTTGTAGGCAGGCCTCTATGTTTATTGGGGTTGCTGACACTCCTGAAGTTTATTTTGCTGGTGCTGCCAGTTTTTTTGTGGGACTACTGAATAACAACCTGCATGTCCTCAAGCTTTGTGATTTAAAACATGTTTTTCCTCTAACTCTCACATGGTTTTGGTACTCATTAATGTACGGAAATGAGTGAGCATTGCACTGTCAAAACTTAAAAAATAAGAAGGTTGGCCAAGGAAATTTTGTTTGTGCAAGGTAAATCTAGGATTAGGCTTTTTGACTTCATTTGGCTTAAAAAAAAAAAAAAAAAAAAAAAACAACCCAAAGGCTGAAAATCTAATGCCATCTGGGTTACAACTGTTCAGGAAAACCAGACCCTGTGATAACCTTTAATAAAGCTGGCAATACTGTCATCATGCCCAACAGCCCACAGAACTCATCTAGGGTTTCTGATAGCTATGTAATGTGGACTTACTATTTGGATGACAATGATGAGGCTTCAAGGAGGGTCAGTGTGGGCCTTCAGCACAGTTGTACGCTCACAACGCTCACTAGAGCTGAGCCCAAGACAAGAGAACCAGCCCAGCACACTTCCTGACCTCCTACTGCTGCTGTGTGCAGGGCAGGATGTGGTCAGATGTAAGACTCAAATTGCCTGCAGATTTAAGCCAACCTTCTCAGCATTTGAAGACAGGAGATGCACTTGCACAGCCCACAGGCCAATTCCCAAGTGACCTAGCTCTGTGACAGTCAGCTGCCAGACCATTTCCAGGCAGTTTAAACAAGACCAGTATGGGCATAAGAGCCAGAGCAAGACTCAAAGACATATAATTCCTGACAAATATATAGTGGCCTGAGTTTGGAGCTATCTGATCGTGTGAAGGCAGGAATTGGCTATAATGCACAGTATGCTGAGTTGAGGCTCCTAGAAAGACGCTTTGGAGCAAAAATGTACCATGTCATCAAGTCTTGCAGAGTGAGACAGCACACCTTTTGTGCATCTGTTGTTGGTGTGACAAGCTCTGTTCTAACAGACTTACTGTGCACAGAATCAGAAAACTCCATAAATAATAGCATAAGTATGCGCAGCTTGAGCTTCAGAACTAAGCTCACTCCTGGCTATAGCCACTGTGTTAGCTCTATCAGCTAGGGAAAAGACATTAGGAGGGCAAGAGCCCACACTCTCACCACCTATCACAGACCTGACCACTTTTGAATATGTCTGAAGTAGCTGTAAGTTCAAAACGCAAGCTTGTAATGGGTCATCCTTCAGGAGCACAGGGTCCTTTCCCTGCTCTTTGCAGTGGGAGGAAGCACTTAACAGAGTTACTCTAAGATCCCAGCAGGATTATTTTTACTCTCAGGATACCAAGTCCTGATAGCCTAATGTACAGACCGTATTATTTTTGCAGTTGGTCAGAAATTTAGGAGATTTTTTTTTAAATCCATCTAGAGTTGCTTACATACAGTATTGCAGGGTATAAATAACATGTAAATAATTCACGTGAAGTGCTATCAAAACCCACCATAACCTCAACCCAAAGGCTCATTGCTGCACAGAGGCTTTGAGATATTTTTTTCCTGCAGAGAAGCTGGATGGTAGGAAATAACTACCCTTACGTACCTCGAAGCTTTGGGATCCCAAATGACGATGTCAGCATCAGAACCCACAGCAATTCTCCCCTTCTTTGGGTAAAGGTTAAAAATTTTTGCTGCATTTGTGCTGGTAACAGCTACAAATCTGTTTTCATCCATTTTTCCACTGTGCTGCACAAGAGTACACAAAAGCAAACTCATTACTTTTTAAAACAAGGAATGAAACAAATGTTCCTATTATTGAAAATGGTAGGATGAGTGACAGATCTCTGCCAGCATCACATCAATTTTTTTAATGTCATACTGAAGAGATTAAAAGAAATAAAAATAACTATTTGTCTGAGATGCACAAACTGCAATGTACATTCACTGAATACTATAACCTTATTTTATTTTACCCCACAGCAAAAGGAAAAAAGACAACTTTAAATCCAAACTTTTGTGGATCCAATCCCAAGTCACCTGAAATATTACTTTTTTATTTGGCTTTGCATCTGTAGTCCTGCTCAGCAGTCTCCTCAGGAGACATAACATCTCTCATAACCAGTATCTAGGTTTTACAAAATGGTGAGACAGTATAAGGAGAGCCTAGAAGATGATAAAAGGAGAGGTAAGGCACAATGTGTAACATCGGAAAGGTGATTTGCAAATGTCTTCAGCAATAACATGGAGGATAGAACTCTTCCGTAAATGTTTGAGAACAAGTAGTATAAAAATCAGATTTGCTGATGTGACACGTCAGTAAAATGGCAAATAAAAGGGATATAAATGCGTCTTGGGACTGTTCACTGATACATAACTAGTTTTAATCCAACCTCTGTGACTGTTCTGTGCTTGGAAAGCCAGATACACTGGCAGACATACTGCATAGGTCAGCCTAGGAATCAGAATGTCATAAAAATGTGTTTGTATATGGTGGCCTTTGAGCATCTAAGAAGAAAAGCATGAGTGGTGAACACTGCTTTTCTAACTAATGGTGTATGGGAAGGGAGGAAAGCTTTCCACACAAATTCTCACTGCTGTGTAATATCTTACAAGTAAGAAAAGAGAGAATATTCCTGATTAAAGAACCTTCAGAAAAATTACCTTGCCCAACAAGATGGACTGTTCAAAAGCAGCACTGGTGTATGTATTCATGTCTTACTTTCATACTAACCACAAGCTAGATTACATTCCAGTTTACACAATAAATAATCACACTAGAGCTATGCCACAGGTGAATATAGGCATAAGTCTGCTTTGTACATGCCAACTTGAATGGAATCCCAAATCAGATAAAAAGAGAGATTCTGAACCACATCCTTACCAAGTCAGATAATTCTACAGTGACAAATAAACATGCCTTGCAGTGTGCTATTAGTAAGACTTCACTATTGCAAGAGAACTTACTAATAATTAGAAAGTTGAACTAGAGCCTCCAGAACTTAACAGTATTGTATTAGCCAAAGCAATCATAACATCCAGTAAGCAGCAGATCCTTCACCAGATTGCCTCACCTCCCCTCCCTGTCCCCCATCAGACTACATCATATCCAAAAAACCTGGCCATTAGTTTTTGTATTTATATTTGTTTAGGGCCTGAGGGCATTGTCCTGAAAAGCACTGAACATTCTTGTGCTGGCAATGACAATATGAAGTCAATGGGGTTTGAAGGTGCTTATCTCACCATATCACAGGACTGAGCCATATGTTAGAGAAGCATTTCTTACCCCTAGCTTGTTTCCTCTGGTTGAAAACACAAATTAGAAGTTGACAGGCACACACCCAGTGCAGAAACTCTCCAACAGCTAAGTTTGAGAGAGATCAAAGAGGAAAAAATATAGAACTGACCAAGTTGAAACTGTGGATAACTCCTTCTACTTTCCTTTCACTTGTTAAAAGAAATGCTGCAAGCAAATTGACTGTGCACTACTGCTGAAACAATAGCAGTCATTTGCTTCTAAACTAGGGAAATGATTCTGTGGTGCTGTATTTTAAACACTTAAGAATCTTGTACCTCCCAGGGCCATAAAGTGAGAGATAGATAGTAAGATAGTAAGGACTCTATTATGGTATTTTATCAAAGGATTTATCCTATGATACATACAGCTGATAAAACTGGAGAGTTGATAACTGCTGAGAGATTATATTTTCTTGGAGAAATCAGTTACTTCCTTGTTCATATATACTGATGTCATGGTTTAAGCCCAGCTGGTAACTCAGAACCATGCAGCCGCTCGCTCACTCCCTCCCCTTCTTCCTCCCCTGCTCCTGAAGGGATGGTGAGGAGAATCGAAAGAATGTAACTCCCACAGGTTGAGAAAAGAATAGTCCAGTGACTAAGGTATAATTCAAAATTACTACTACTACTTCTCCTAATAATGATAAGGCAAATAACAAAGCGAGAGAATATGAAACTAAAACAGGAAAGGGAAAAACCCAATAAACACAAGTGATGCACAATACAATTGCTCGGCACCTGCCAACCGATACCCAGCCCGACCTGAGCAGTGATAGGTCCCTTCTGGGTGACTCCCCCCAGTTTATATATCAGGCATGATGTGCTGTGGCATGGAATACCCCTTTGGCTAGTTTGGGTCAGGTATTCTATCTCTGCTCTCGTTTGGCTTCTTGTGCCCCTCCTCACTGGAAGAGCATGAGAGAGGAAAAGCCCTTCATCAGGGTAGGCATTACTTAGTAACAACTAAAACACTGGTGTGTTATTAATCAGCATTGTTCTCAGACTAAAGCCAAAACACAGCACTGCACCAGCTACTAGGAAGGTGCCCTGGGTTCAGCAGTAGCAGCCATTTTTCTCCTTCTTAGTAGCTGGTGCAGTGCTGTGTTTTTGACTTTCAGCCTGGGAACAGCACTGATAACACCGATGTTTTAGTTGCTGCTCAGTGACGTTTACTCTGACCAAGGACTTTCTGAGTCTCATGCTCTGCCAGGGAGGAGGGGAAGCCGCGAGGAAGCAGAGACAGGACACCTGACCCAAACTAACCAAAAAGGTATTCCATACCACAGCATGTCATGCCCACTATATAAACTGGGGGCAGTTACCCAGAAGGGCTAGATCACTGCTCAGGTCAGGCTGGGTATCGGTTGGTGGGTGGTGAGCAGTTGTATTCTCTTCCCTTGTTATTTCCCTCATTACTATTATTATTGGTGGTAGCAGCAGTGGTTTTGCGTTATACCTTAGTTACCTCACTGTTCTTATCTCAACCCCTGGGAGTTACATTCTTTCTATTCTCCTCCCCATCCCTCTGGGAGCAGGGGAGAGGAAGGGGAAGGAGTGAGGGTTGAGAGAGCGGCTGCGTGGTTTTGAGTTATGGCTGGGTTTAAACCACAACAGAAGGAGAAAACTAACTGTTAGAGCCGAACCCAGAAAAATTGATATACTTACAACACCTTTTTCCCATATGACTGACATCCTATCTTCCACACCATTCACTCCATTAGGGATTTTTGTGAAGTCGTCCTTCCCCTGAGCTTTCTGGCATATGTCAAAGGTGCAGTTGTCACTTCCTGTCACAGATAGGTCATCACTGTGGAGAGATAAGGTCTTTATGAAATAGAGCATGTACCAGACAGTGCCACATGGGAAAAATCATTGCAAAGCTTGGTAGATCCAGGAATCCATGCTGCAAGAAAAAACTGGTATGTCCTGCCTTCCTGTCTTCAATCCCATCCCCCAAGAGTAGCTCCACAGTACAGACAGTTCCCCTGTAAAGTAGTTTCTTCTTCAGAAACCCCTCAAAAGAAACCAATCAGCAAAAATAACACTTTTACTTTGGATATAATAAAGCCGTCCCACAAATGGAGGACTAACATGCTTTGCCCAGAGTAAGGGGCTTGGTTCCATCCTCACTTAGGGCAATTTTAGACTGAGTCACTCTCTATACCCTTTGAAATTGCCACAGATCTGCACAACTATCAGCCAGTGTTCAGGTATACACTGGTCAAATTCAACCCTTTTGTGGAGTTAAGCTTTGTTGGTAATGAAATACCAGAAAACCACACATGCTGTTAACTGCAGGTATCTGAAGGATACTTCTATCCTACTTCCTTCTGAAAGGAGAAGTGGATAACTTACATCTACCTTCAGAAGTCAGCAGGCTTAGTTTTTACACAGCATCCAAATTTCAAGTGAAAAAGGCAGCTGATAACAAAACCCAGAACCTGTAGCTGTGACCCCACTTTTTACACATTTCCCACTGACTTACAGCCTTACTGTCTCCCTGATCATGTTTCAATTTCTGATGCAGTACTAGCAAGGCAAGACTTAATGATTAAAATCAATGGGGACAGAGGCCACAAGAGTCCAGAGACACAAAATCTAAACACTTTCTAATTCCTGCAACAAAAAAATGTATTTCATCTATGGTTTCACCTTGCATTTCTCCTTCCTGATAGTGTTAACGTTCTGTACTTAGAAAATCTCCAGGGCATCAACCTGTTATTATATACTACAGACAGAATTTACTGTGTATTTGGGCATCAGCTGTCACTGTTTGTTCATCTGCTTACTTGGCTAGTAAGTTCATGAGGAAATCAGGAGTAGATGGATCTGGTCTCAGTGGAGGTCCCATGACATATGCTGCAGCATGAGCCCAGTCTTCATTCCAGTAGTTGGTGCCATCGGTGCCAAGACTAGCAGCAATAGGCTCCCCATAAACCACCTTTCCTAAAAAAATATAAAGCAATAGTATCATCATCAAACAACATAAAAATGCTTATCTTGTGTTTTCTCTTTTGCAGATCTTTTTGATGGCAATGGATCTAAATTTGAATAAGTGTTTCAAATTAAACACTAACATATGGAAGGACATAATAAAATAACCTATAACACAGCATCTCTGTTCTGAACATTCTGCTGGTGATCTCCAAATATACTTTCTCATAAGAACATTGCTTGGCCAAGTCTTTTAATGAAATTGGTGACAGATATATTATAATGGGGTTTACACATTGTTTACTAGGCCTGTGATTGAGATTTCAAAAGGAACACAGTCCTCAGTTGCATTAATTATTTTCAAGATCCATAAATTTCTTGGTAGTGCCTGTTTGGTGCTCTGAAATTATTGATTATGTAAGTTAATACATACAGCATACAGACTTTGCAAGGTGATACTTTTAATCATCAGGCTATAGTTGTTCCAGGAAGAACAATATGGCACAAGACATAAACTAAAGAATGTAAAAACATGTCCAAAATGAAAAACTATCAATAATTTTAAATGTTATCTCCCAAATTTTAATCTTTAGCTCTTGCTGCATGGCTCCTCAGAAGAGGACACCAACCCACACCCACTGTTAGCCTTTGGATAGAGCTAATATATTCACTATTTTTTCTTCCTAGGAAACATGGGTTTGAAACTCATCAGAACAAGATGGGAAATGAAACAAGATGCTTCACTTCCTGAGGAGGGGGTCCAGCCACTTTGCAGTTCTGTAGGTGACTGGTGATAATGCCCGTGACTGTGGTGGTCTCTAAAGAATGAAAGTAAGGACTTCAGGCACCCCCTCATAGGCTGCCTAGTGCTGGTTACAGGCAGCTTCTGCTGGATTTCAGCAAGGATCCCTGCAGACAGTAGGTGTCTTGCCGTGGATCCCAGATTTCACTTGAGGCACAATTTTTACTAGAACTACCATTGTATTACCCCAGCAGTGGCTCAGCTGGCAATGGCTTGATGACACAAGACAATGAACTTTCTCTGGCTTCTTGTGTGTAAGTCAGTCAAACATTCACAGTACTGATGGAAAACAACATAGCAAACCTTTGCAGATTTCTCTCTGTATATTAGATTCTGGTGTTTCCGTGAATTACTGAATTATAACTGCTACACTGGCACAGCTTACTACCATGGGACTCAGTTCTTTCAAAAATGCTTCCCACTGCAATAGTGCCATTCCTTAAATCTTCTGTGTTAGACTTGCAAAAAGTCCTCATATACTTTAAACCTCATAGTTCTACTGTCATTTCTACAAGGTTTAAAGACCTGCTCTGACATTATTGTACTGTACATTTACCCCAAGTACTACATAGTATAACTTCTTCCATGGCCTAAAGACTCCCTCTTAGCATTATTAATTTGCTATAACCATCTCAGCATGCTCTGGCATGTCTCATATTTATGGTTTCATTTGGAGCATTCTAAGCTCCCAGTCCCACTTATCTACATATATTATAGATATACACTTGGACTCAAGGTTGAGACCACCACTATTGTTTGGACTTGAATTCACAACTTAAGCAGTTATTTACTGTTTTTTGCATCTTATTTACAAAATTTAAAGCACTGAATATGAGGCCATCCATAGATGTGATATGACTACTCTGAAAGAGGATGTTTGAATCGGATTAGTATTTTCCCAGCTCAGAGCTGCTGCAGGTGTCAGGGGGATCTTGGCGTTCCCAGGGAAATTCCAAACACAGTATTGGAGAGCAGACTGAAACAAACCCTGATATACACAGAAACATCCTGCATATATAAATAATCTCCTATATTAACCTATTAGGCTTTTGACAGATTTTTCATAAGCAAAGTCAGCAGGAGGGGGAGGGAGGGCAGTGTGTTGTGGTGGTATTTCCTACTATATCTAAACAAGCTAAAGAAACTTCTATCCAAAGTAAACCTGAATTATGAATCATTAGGGCATAGGTATAAATAATAAAAGTTAAAATGATAGGAAAAAAGTAAATGCTTAGCTTCCATAAATAATTTCCTTATCTGTTTTATAACATAAAATGAAAAGTCTCCAAGCTCACTTATATGTTGAGTCAATTTTAACTTATGTACCACAGCTGATGACCATATTTCTGCAGTCAGAATTCAACCTGAGCAGCAGCTCCCTTCATTCCCATGACTGGGAAGAAGTACAAGTCATTTCCTTGAGTGATTCTGAGTTTGAACACTGCAGTTTTAACAGACCACATCTGGACCCTTCTGCTGACTATGCAATTTCTCACATTTCACTTGGACCATGACTAGCCAGCCTGAAGGGTACGATAATATAAAGATTCTACTTTAATCCAAATAACAAGGCAATTCTGAATTAAGGCTCTTTTAGCTCCATTGGCAGCAAGGAAATTCTGCATTTAAGTTCTTCTAGCTCAATTGGCTTCTGCCTATAGGCATAAAAGTGGAGTAATGCGGTAATAAATCAAGTCTTTCCATTTATTATGTTTTCCTTCATTCAATAAAAACAGCAAGCAGAAAGCATTCTGAGCTGCTGGAAGACAGCTGTGGATTCGGTGACTTCTCCATCAGATGTCCAAACTGTCTAGCAAAACTATTGTCACATGAGTTACTTTGTAAGAAGGAAGAACATGTAATTGTGTTTTATTTTACCACTTATTAGAACTGAGTTATAATCTTGAGAAACATCAACTAATATCCATGGGCTTGAAAAACTGGTCCCTGTGTGCTTATTCTAGTAAAAGTTTCAGAAGTACTTAAGATCATACAGGACATAATTACTGGCCAGCTATGATCTGAAAGAAATAGAACTGCAAGAAAGGTTTTATTGAATCAGGAATAGTATTGCATCAGTTATACTATCTACAGTGTGGACCTGAGCTGCCTTGCACGAGCTGGCTGAGCAGCCCACATTTTTTAGCTGCACTCTTGTGCTCAGAATCAGCTTGACAGTCTGTATACCTCCAGCTATGTACATGCCCTTCCTCTCACTAAGAGGAGACCTAAGCTGTGACTGATGGTAGGAGGCGCTAACTTTCTAAGTCTAAGCAAGCTTCTTGTAATCTGATCAATTACATATTTTTCTATGCACTCTTTTAAAAGGGGAACCTTGTTTTAAAAAAATACTTTTTAGTAAGATACTGCTTTCCTTTATATTTACTTCAAAGATACTGATCTGCATTAGGAAATTTTATTTCCTTAGCTGTAACAGCACAGTTACAGCTATAGTTACAGCACATGATCTCTATTGGTACACCTGGAATGAAAGCATTTTTAAGTGGCAGTATAAACTGTATATCCCTAAATCACAATTTTTAGCCTTGCTTCCCCATTGGCATTATTGGCCAAAGGAATGGGCCACATTAGTTTTCCCTGGTAAGTTCACACCAAGTAGTCCTAACAAGGACAGAGAGCTGCACTGACTGACACCAGCACTCTGCAGCCTTGTCTTCACATTTTAGGAACAACTTTACACAATAGAAGGCAGAGGATCCTCTTTGTCTTCCCACTCAAGAGAGCAAGACTTTCATGCACACAGAGATATTAGACGGCCCTTCTGTGAAATCAGACAGTTCTTCTACCTCTCTGAACAAGATTCAAGATCATGTTTTGCACAGGGATGAAGAAACAACCCACTGAGACAAGCAAGAACAGTTCTCACAGAGAGATGCTCGTTTTGGCCCTCTCAAGTGGTGAACTATAGACCATTGCTTTTGGCAAACAGACTGGTAGGGCACCAGAAAAAGAAGAGGATGGGGACTTCTGTTAACCTGTACCTCTCACAGTCACAACATGGAAATCTTCGATTTCCTGTTGGATATTCAGCAACACTGTAGCTGTACTGATGTACATGAAAAGCATGCTGCTGCAACCTGGAGATTTCCTTCTGTAAATGGTGCTGCTAAAGATCAGAGCAGACATAGACAGGATTTTGGCATGGAGGAGAGAAGGCAGTTACTTAAGTTATTTCCCTAAAGTTTGCTTATTGTAGTATAAGAACTAGTATCCCTTTACAGTCTATATGACTGATTTTCGTTTTTAAGGTCTGAGCCATACCTCACTGAAGACAACAGAATTATGCTTGCTGTCTTCAGCAAACTGTATCAGGCCTTTGGTCTCCAGCTAAATGAGGGACAAAAAAGAATTGGCCTATGACTTATATTTTTTACTAGGAAAACTACCAACCCACAGAATTTGAGAAGTAATGCTTCAATTCTGGTGTCACACTGTCACCCAGAAAACAGATTATGCTCACTGAAGAGCCATCTCTCCCCTTCTGAGGTCAGTGATGGAAGAGGAAGGGATATCAGTCTTCCTCTGACATAGGCAGAGATAATATGCACCCACACGCTGTACTTCATGCTTGAAACTAACATGAAAAATTCCACAATTGTAAATAGTAGGAAGCTAGAAACAAGAGATGGAGAAATAATCTTGAAAACATGAATAAACATCAATAAATATGAATAAAGCATTACAGTGAATATTTCAAATGCTTGAGAGCCTTCTGATATTTAAGAGTTCACACAGATTTTGCATTAAGGTGGTTTAACCTGTCCAAGCCGAATACCTTTCAGCAAAACATTTGGGCTTTGTTTATGTCATTCATACAATACTTTGAGATATTTTTTTTTTTTTTTTTTTTGCCTGGAGCTCCTTGTTTTGTATGACTACTTTTAACTGAAGAATGGAAAATAACTTTTACTGAAAGTAACAGCAATTAATTTCTAATTGTCAGGAATTATGCAGATCGGTCTCATCAAAAACTGTAATTGCGGTAACTATCTTTGTGGTACACTTGCTATCTTTAAAAATGTCTTACTCAGTCCTAGATTCTTGTTTCCTAAACAGTACACATCCATGAAAATAGAAATTAAGTATGGAGAGATGCTATGCATTGCTGTGCACAAAGGCAAGCATGGATGACTCTGACCACATCAACCCGGGAAACTACAAAATTTAATTTGCAACACAATACGAGTTAACTTGTACTAAATTTGTCATTTTGCACATTGAAGAAGCATACATATATCAAGTTAGTTATCAAACTGGCACTGGAGACTATTTGTACAACAAAGCCCAACAATATTTTACAGTATTTACGATCAGCATAGAATTTTTTTACTCAAAAAATGTGTTATAAAATGCCACCTCACATCTTAGCTCTTTCATGTTCACAGCCAGTGTTTTATCTTTAATCCTCTTGTAGTTAATGTTGACATCACACATGTGAATGTATAAATAAGCATACAGAGATGGATACAATCCAGATCACCAGCAGCACTGTCATCTAGTGGAAGAATCTAATATAGCACAGTACCAAAAGATGTGCTAGTAAAAAATATTCTGGTAGTTTCCTTTATAAACTTGAATTACTGATAAGTCTTACTAGAAGTCATAATCAATGCATATTCTACATGCATATATCCATCTATATTATAGAATCATAGAATATTTAGGGTTGGAAAGGACCTTAAGATCACATAGTTCCAACCCCCATGCTGTGGGCGGGGACACCTCGCTCTAAACCGTGTCACCCAAGGCCTCGTCCAACCTGGACTTGAACACCATCAGGGATGGAGCATTCACAACCTCCCTGGAAACCCATTCCAGTGCCTCCCCACTCTCACAGGAAAGAACTTCTTCCTTATATCCAATCTAAGTTTCCCCTGTTTAAGTTTGAGTCTGTTACCCCTTGTCCTACCACTAGAGTCCCTAATGAAGAGTCCCTCCCCAGCACCCCTATAGGCCCCCTTTGGATACTGGAAGGCTGCTATGAGGTCTCCACGCAGCATTCTCTTCTCCAGGCTGAACAGCCCCAACTTTCTCAGCTGATCTTCATATGGGAGGTGCTCCAGTCCCCTGATCAATCTTGTGGCCCTCCTCTGGACTTGTTCCAACAGTTCCATGTCCTTTTTATGTTGAAGACACCAGAACTGCACACAATACTCCAAGTGAGGTCTCACAAGAGCAAAGGGCCAGGATCACCTCCTTCGACCTGCTGAACACACTCCTTTTGGTGCAGCCCAGGATATGGTTGGCTTTCTGGGCTGTGAGAGCACACTGAAGCTGGATCATGTTCATTTTCTCATCGACCAACACCCCCAAGTCCTTCTTCACAGGGCTTTTCTGAATCAATTCTCTGCCCAACCTGTAGCTGTGCCTGGGATTGCCCCAAGCCAGGTGTAGGACTTTGCACTTGGCATGGCTAAATTTCATTAGGTTGGCATCAGCCCAGCTCACAAGCGTGTCAAGATCCCTTTGGATGCATTCCTTCCCTCAGCATATCCACTGAACCACACAACGGTTCACACAGTTAGCACAATGATTTCAGGCACTCTGGTCAAGTTCTCATACTCCACATTTTGCTATTAATGATCTTCACCCGCTGTGTCAGAATTATCTAAAGTCAGGAAATAAGGAAACTGAGGTCTGTATGCAATTCATATAAGGTCAGATAACAAGGACATATATTCCATAAGTTTTAGGCCCTCCAGATCACGGGCTTCTGTCCCGCTTCTTCCACCCATATAATATCTCCTCACAGCACTGTGGTTCCACAGGCTGCCCTGGTTATAGGAACCCACAAATAAGAATGTAAAAACATCCTGAATCCCTGTATCTTTCAGGCTACTTCTAGCCTGCCCAACAGATAATCGAGAGGGTCAGGCTTCCCTTGGCTGACCAGAACTATTTATAAGCCTTGCACCGCATGACCTGAGAAACCCTTCCCTGACAGAATCAATGCTTTCAGATGTTGCCATCATCACCATGATTTCTGAGTGCCCAGTAAACAGGACTCCTTGTCATGTCATGGCACTGTCCCTAAAAATTGGTGTGGTCTCTGTTGTAGAATACCTCATCTAAATAGCTGGTAAAGGCTTGCAGATTATAATTCAAGGAAGAGGAATAAAAGAGCATGCTTTGTCTTAGACTGGTCACCTTACTTTGAAAGCATCTTTGAGTTTCAACACAAAGGAAAAGAAAGTTTGCTCTGGGGAGAATGGAAAGTCTCAACCCCAGATGGTGTTCTGCCACATTGCTTAACAGTCTTTGGGCTCCACAAAACACATGCAGTTTAGACATCCCACTCTAAGAAATTCACTCATGTTCTGAGGGTGATGGCACTCACGACAAGTAGAACACTGATGCTGTGTTGGGTTTTCCATGACCCTTTCTCCAATGCCATAGCCCAAACACAAAAGAATTAGGACTTTTACCTTCTCTTCGTGCATTACTTATCAATTTTCCTGAAGATTTACTCATTACGTGGACTACAAAAAGGGGGCAGTTTACAGAATTTGCTATGGAAATTGCTCTTTGTGTAGCTTCAGCTTCCACTTCTTCAGGACGAGACAGTGCATGCCCCTCAGGGCCAGTTATTCCCATTGCCAGCATCTTCTTTGCACCCTGAACACACACAAAAAAGTAAGAGTCAGATACAGTGCAACTATTGTGTCATGAACATGCTGCTGACCAAACGGATCCTAAATGAGCCACTACAGCTAGCTTGGGAAAAAAAAAAAAAAAAAAAAAAAACAACAACAACAAACCAAAAAACAACAAACAAGGTAGTTATGATTATTTTTTTTCAAAGGAACTTACTGTTTTGTTATCTGAAATCTAACACGTCTCTCAATAATCATAGGTCTCAGAATACCTGAGTGACTTTAGAGAACACAATCTACAAGCTTGCAGGGATAAATCACCCCTTCTGAAAGCCCTACCCCTCTCTCAATATGTACTCTTAAATGATCACATCCAGTAACTGAGGTGACAGTACTAACCCCTCACTGGAAAGAAAAAAGAAAGATCTTCACTAAGCACAGATACACATCCAGAGCCTTTGAATGAGGCACCAAAGTTTTCAGAGGCATAAGATTTTGACCCTACTATATTCCAGGAATTTATGCTTTGCTGATTTGAGATTACATAGCAGTAAATTAAATTCTGTTATGGGACCTGGGGCAGAGTCGAAGCACTATTGACTAGAATACCTGAAGAAACTCAAAGACATCAGTGTAGTTATACTCCTAGAACCTCCACACAGCACTAAGATGGCAATAGCAAGTGTGAAGAGAGTCTAACTAGGCACAGAGGGACCTGTTAATAATTTTGTATACTGAAATTATAAGTATGAAGGGTGGCACTTTTCTGCTCATTCAGTGAAGCTTTCTTCATACTTCTGGATTTGTTACTGTAAGATGACCATGTTTGGAGAGACCTAGGGTTAGGCACTACATACCTGATATCCAAATACTTGGCTGAGTGTTCCCCCTTTGACTTGATCTATGATCAGGCTCTGAATGTTGTTCTCTTTGTCAGTCAAGTATACATATATTGAAAGTATACATATTATATTGCAAGTATAACTGTCATTATAACAGGATCATTAGTCTCCTGTCTACCCTGAATCCAAGACTCAAGATTACAATTTCTTAGCTCACCACAAGCATCCTTTACTATCTTGGACATGAATGTTTGTCCTCAGTTCCCTGGAATTAAAATAGGGTAGAAAAGCCTTTCCCTGAGACACAGCAACAGCACTAATACAGCTATTGAAGGGCTTATAAATGGCAACAGGACCATTTATATTCTTGACTTTGATGGACAAAATGTAAAATGCCTACCTGTGCAATTAGCTCCCCATTCTCTGCATGGACTTGAGCAACTGCTCCGAGTTCCTTACAGCAGCAAAAAGCTTCATATAACTCCTCATCATTGAGCATATATATATCTTTATAGGCCATAAACATCTTGAAGGAGTTGACGCCTTTGTTTTGAACAAGAGTTTTCATTTCTTCTTTTACCTGAAAGACAACAGTTTTTAAAAAAGCAGCAATATTATATTTAACCTGTTAATAATTTTATGTAATGAAATTGTAATTATGAAGGGTGAACCTTTACTCACCCATCAAACATATATTTAGTCCAAACAGCCCAAGTCACATATCTAAAGACTGACTTATATTATTATTCTTGTATAAAATTCATCCTTCAAGTACATAAGCCAGTACCACTGCAGTGCAGATATTGAAGGTACAAACTAATTGCAGGAAGGGAACGATTTTTACAAAAGCAAGCAAAGCAGCATTTCACTCGAAATAAACCTCTTGATGTCGAAAACACCCAAGCCAAAATTACAGTGAATGTATTCAATGTATACAGTATGGAGTTTTGAGAAAAACTGATTTTCAAAATTGGATCATAATAGGCTTCATCTTCTGGCAAATAAAAGTGACAGAAAGTATCTCATGTCCTGAAGCTTTGTCCTAAACAACACCACACAGCCTTTTGGAATGCTTTGTCATCAAGCAAAATGGCTCTAAACTCTAGAAGAATGTGTGCTTTTCTGGTTGGTTTTGTTGTTTGGTTTTGGTTTTGGTTTTTTTTTGTATGAACTCCTTGATAGGATTCCCTGCTTCTGCTGGGGTCTGTGAAGCCCAGCAAAACTTTACGTCCCAAAGAAAGAAAGGTGCAGATTTTAGCCCAAAGATCTCTTCTATAACCAGTTCTAGCTTGTTAGCTAGAACTAACCTAAGCTATCCATTACTTAACTTTGGCTCTCCCTTCCCAGTAAAATGATGGTAACACTAATTGATGTGTATCTGTGACACTATTACAATTTCCACAGGATGAATTCCTTTCAGAAAGTAAAACATTGTTTTTCATCTTGTCTCTAATTATCTTGTTGGATCTGCCTAAGAAAGGTTTGATATAAAACTCAAGGGAATTTTCTGGACTTATCCAGAGGAGGAATAAATACCCAACACAAGATCCTGCTCGGCACAAATATAGAGGCATGTCATTTATTTTCTTCTTTACTATTTACTATGACTAAGGAAAAGCATTATGAAGAATGTATGTTTTTAATCAGTCCTGAGGAGATGACAGCTAATTAAAATGGCATGAAATATCAGTCATCTTTACCCAGATCTTTTACAGCTACAAAACATCAGACCTTTCTATTTGTTTCAATCTTGGCCTTTAAAAAAAGTTAACTTCTTAACATAAACCAGAACATTTCATTGATTTACACCTCACTAGTTTTATTGGATTTTTCAGTACAATGCCACTGTTCTCTACGGAGGCAGTTTCAAACACACATTTCTCAAACTTCACTGGAGAATTTATTTTATGTCTTTGCTTTGAGCTGGAAGTTGCAGTCAGTCTATTTAGTGCTTAGTGCTCAGAATACCAAAGATGGAGTGTTTGCAGAGTGAAAGCTTTGGTTCATATATGTTAAAAGCCAAAAATTAGCGAAAGTACTCATATTTTAAAACAGAATTTACTTAATATATCTATGTACTGATGCACATCCTCTGAGGATCCAAAGTGGTCTTGTAAAACATGGGTCAGGTTTAGATAGATGTCAGGCACCTGAAAAGTTAATTTATTCAGTAAAGCTTTCAGGCTATCAGCAGACACTCACACAACAAGGATGATTTTCCAATATGTAAATCCCAAAAAGGTTTTTCAGATAACCTAATAGTCAAGTAACTATTGGCTGCAGTCCTGCTTTACTTTATGGAGATATTACTGCAGTCAGTAAAAACAAAAAAGCACCACCACCACAAAAAATAAAAACCCAGAGAAACAAACAAAAAAACATCACAACCAAGACTCAACAGGAGCATGTTATCAAGTGCTTAAGAAATAAAAGGCAAAATTTATGTGAACACCTCTTACCCCCTCTAATTTGCCTGGTCTTGGTCTTGCACAACTGCTTCCTTTAACTTCGAGCAGTATTATCCAAAGACACATGCTATCTGCAGACTTTCTTTCTTTCTTTTTTTTTTGGTGGTATTTTTTTTTCAAACACATGTACTTTCAGAAGGGCTTGGACTATTTCAAATGTAATTTTATATACAAAAACACTATTAAACTGCCAGCAAGCTATATTTAGCACATAAGGACTAATTCAAAGCAGGTGTGGTACCGATTCATGGAATTGAAAATCAGCTATTGTGTTTACCTTACTGCTCCACCACGTAACTGCCACATGCAGGGAATAATCACAGCAGACTTTAGGATCTGCCCAGCTTTTCCATGTGTCAAAGGCTTTGATCAGAGAACAGCCTTTGTGAGGGATGGCAAAGTCAATGATCATAGTGGTTCCTCCTGCTACAGCAGCCTGAAAGGGAGAAAGTTAATATTTAGTATTGGAGAGAATGCAGATTTCCTCCCACCCTCTCCAACTATCTTGATACGCTGAAAAGCCAAAACTCACTGAAGAGTTCCCCTGAGTAAAGTCTGAACTTGCAAAATGATTGTGGAAATTAATTTTGCCTCCTTTGAGAAGGCTGCTCTCAAACAGGCATTCAGGAGAATCATGAGGAAGTTCTCAGACTGAAGGAGAAGTTTTCACACATGTACAAAATCTCACGACAAGTCTGGAGATGAGTGCAACATTGATGCATCACTGAGTTTCCTGAAACATGTGGGATCACCAAGAAAGAAGAGCACCAGAAGACCATGCTCAACTTGAAAAATGCTTCCTTGGAGTCTATGTAGTTGAAAAAAAAAAAAGCCTGTGTGACAGGAAAGTATTAAGGGGCAGATAGAAAATGAAAAAGAACAGATCCGGTCTGAAAACTCACTTTGATAATCCCTAAACTCTTGTCCAATACCAAATTATTACCTTTTGTGTGTGTGTGTGTGTGTGTTTTCCTTTAAAGGATCTTTGTTAGCAATTTCCAGAAACCAGATACTCAACTGACAGAAATTGACCCAATATAGAAATTCCAAGAGGAAGTGCAGCAGGAGGGCCAGGAGACCTCCTTGGATGGATAAGGAAAATTCAAATGAAAAAAAGAGTTTTATAGAAAGTGGAAGCAAGGACAGGCAGCCTGGGAAGAGTACAGGGATGTTGTCCGGGAAGCTAGGGACCAGGTTAGGAAAGCTAAGGCCCAGTTAGAATTAAACTTGGCTAGGGATATTAGGGATAACAGGAAGGGATTCTACAGGTACATTGCAAATAAAAAACAGATTAGGGAGAACGTAGGCCCCCTCAGGAAGTTCTTGGGTGAACTAGCTACACAGGATTTGGAGAAGGCTGAGGTTCTGCATGACTTCTTTGCCTTGGTCTTCTCTAGCAAAGGCTCTGACCGCACCACTCAAGTCTTGGAAGGCAGATGCAGGGACTGTGAGAATGAAGACCTTGGGCCCACTGCAGGAGAGGAATTGGTTCAAGACCATCTTAAAAATCTGAACGTGCACGAGTCCATGGGTCCTGATGAAATCCATCCGCGGGACCTGAAGCAGCTGGCGAATGAAGTCGCTAACCTGCTGGCCATCATATTTGAAAAATCATGGCAGTCAGGTGAAGTTCCCGACGACTGGAAAAAGGGGAATATAACCCCCATTTTCAAGAAGGGGAAAATGGGTGACCCGGGCAATTACAGACCAGTCAGTCTCACCTCTGTACCTGGCAAAATCTTGGAGCAGATTCTCCTGGAAGGCATGCTAAGGCACATGAGAAACAGCAAGGTGCTTGGTGACAGTCAGCATGGCTTCACTAAGGGGAATTCCTGCCTGACCAATTTGGTGGCCTTCTATGATGGGGCTACAGAACTGATGGATAACGGTAAAGCAGTTGATGTCATCTACCTGGATTTGTGTAAAGCGTTCGACACTGTCCCACATGACATCCTTGTCTCTAAATTGGAGAGACTTCAATTTGATGAATGGACCACTTGATGGATAAAGAACTGGCTGGATGGCCATACACAAAGAGTTGTGGTCAATGGCTCAATGTCCAGCTGGAGACCAGTAACAAGTGGTGTCCCTCAGGGATCGGTGTTGGGACCGGTCTTGTTTAACATCTTCGTCACTGACATGGATAGTGGGATTGAGTGCGCCCTCAGCAAGTTTGCTGATGACACCAAACTGTGTGGTTCGGTTGATACACTGGAGGGAAGGAATGCCATCCAGAGGGACCTTGACACGCTTGTGAGCTGGGCTGATGCCAACCTTATGAAGTTTAACCATGCCAAGTGCAAGGTCCTACACCTGGGTTGGGGCAATCCCAAACACAGCTACAGGCTGAGTAGAGAAGAGATTCAGAGCAGCCCTGTGGAGAAGGACCTGGGGGTGCTGGTCGATGAGAAAATGAACATGAGCCAGCAGTGTGTGCTTGCAGCCCAGAAAGCCAACCGTATCCTGGGCTGCATCAAAAGGAGCGTGACCAGCAGGTCGAAGGAGGTGATCCTGCCCCTTTATTCTGCTCTCGTGAGACCTCACTTGGAGTATTGTGTGCAGTTCTGGTGTCCTCAACATAAAAAGGATATGGATCTGTTGGAACAAGTCCAGAGGAGGGCCACGAGGATGATCAGGGGACTGCAGCACCTCCCATATGAAGACAGGCTGAGAAAGTTGGGGCTGTTCAGCCTGGAGAAGAAAAGGCTGCGTGGAGACCTCATAGCAGCTTTCCAGTATCTGAAGGGGACATATAGGGATGCTGGGGAGGGACTTTTCATTAGGGACTGTAGTGATAGGACAAGGGGTAATGGGTTAAAACTCAAACAGTGGAAGTTTAGATTGGGTATAAGGAGGAAATTCTTCCCTGTTAGAGTGGTGAGGCACTGGAATGGGTTGCCCAAGGAGGTTGTGAATGCTCCCTCCCTGGCAGTGTTCAAGTCCAGCTTGTATGAGGCCTTGGGTGATACGGTTTAGAGCGAGGTGTCCCTGCCCATGGCAGGGGGGTTGGAACATGATGATCTTAAGGTCCTTTCCAACCCTAACCATTCTATGATTCTATGATTCTAAATTCCTTTGTTGTAATTGTTGCAGTCTTCCAGATTGCCATAATGGTTGCAATTAGTCAGAGAAATTCTCTCTATTGCTCTGAACAACATCCCTTTGCACCTCAGAGACCACCAATTCATATAAGATTCATATTACTCTTCCTCTTTCTTGATCAGTTAACTCTTTCCTCTCTTTTACTTATTACTCTCTCTTGTCAGGAGAGGTATTCTGTGCCTTTATTTATTCAGCTGAATGGGTGCCTCTTGGCTAATCATTATAGCATATTTTGCAATAGCTGGAACACAGCTCTGTCTCTTGCCAGAATATCTGCAAGATGATGACCTTCAGTAAAAAGCTCTGAACACATTCCGCACTTAGAGTTGGGGTAAAAGGGTCCACAATATCTAACTTTCTGACATCTGATCACTCGGCTGGATCTCAAGTCTTCTCTTAGGCACTATCTGCTCATCCTGTTTTGTGTATGCAGTCTCTGTTTTGCAGCTTCCCTTATCAGTGACTAAAAAAAGTTATTCAAAAAACTTCAAACCTAAAAAATAAAAATACTACTTTCTTTTTTGAAAGTTAACACATAATTCGTCTTCCGTACTTTGGGACATGACAGTGCAGGCACCTATATTCGAGTTAGTCTTCATCTTTGGTTCTTTTCAAACAATGAAAGCATTCTAAGAATGCAGTCACTAACACCTTACAAAGGCATCTTAAAAGAAAGCCTCAGTCACTGCAGTTTCTTTTACATATTTCCTCCTCTCAAACAAAATAATCTTCTGGCTTCAAGTCACATTTGTTAGATTTCTCTTGCAATGTCAAATTTCTAGATACACTGTTGATAATCAGTTTACAAAAGTGGTCTTCACAGAGAAATAAAGGATCGTTGCAGAAAATGAAAACATATTAATATACATATGTGTACTATCAGATAAAGTAAGTATTCCAGAAATCAAATTCTGCATGCCATTCAGCCACGAAACATACCCTGTGATGTCTGTAGACAAGCAGAACAGACATTGTGAGCTTGATTTTTTTTCTCTCCACTTATCACAAAAAGCAGCATGAAGGCCAAAATCTGCTGTGGAAGCCATTATGGTAACTATAATTTATTTTTTTTTTTCCAACAAATATTTCCTGTCTATGGACATCTTAAAAAGACGGCACTGTTAGGCCCATATAATACTAGATTCCTTAATTTCTACCAGATAGCTACAGAGTCTAGGGAAAAAAAAAATCCATTATCATATTTATAATACCTTTCCAGCAATCAGTTCTGGAGATAGAAAAGCTGTAGCTTTTCTTTTGCATCTTATGTCGGACTTGGAGAGGCGTTATTTTTGGTATAGCAGCCATTTTGGTATGTGTGGGAAGATCTGCTGCTATGGACAAATTAACTTTTTTTTCAAAGTTTTGCAGAAAAATTAGTCTATTATAATGAGCCACTACAACTTCTGTGTTCATTGAAAAGAACAACTCTGGTGCTTAAAACTATCCAGTGTAAAATATTTCCATTCAAATAACAGCAGCAACACCAGCAAATCTATCTTGAGCTGGAACAAATATTGTTATTGAAAGAAATATGCCAGTAATTTAAGGATAGCATACAGGTCATTTGTAGTCCTCTTTTCAGTAATCTGGAGTCAGCATTAGAAGAAGTCAGCTCCTTGTTAAGAGTATGAAAATGTACAATAAGGGGGAAACAAGACAAGGCCAGGTTACACAGAGCTTGGAGGAACTGGTCTAGTAGAAGGTATCCCTGCCCGTAGCAGGGGGTTGGAACAAGATCAGCTTTAGGTCTCTTACAACCTTAACCTATGACTCTATGATTAGACCACTCAGACAATCTAAAGTGCACTCTCATGACATGATGTGGCAAGCAAGAAATTAAATTTCCTGCTGAAGAACAGGGTCAATCTTAGCAAGACTGCAAACTTTATAGGTTCTTAATGGTTGTGTGATTACTGCATCACACTTATTTGTTAAAATGAGTTGAGTTTAACCTTTCCAACTATTTCAAAGAGGAAAACTGGTATTTTGCACACCATAAAAAATGCACACTGGTGAAGTCCATTTATTTTGAAGGCATGCACTACACTATTGCTTTCTGCTTTTTAGCAAACCCCAGTTCTGCTGTGAGAAGTACTGGATATAATAGGCTGCCTGAGGATGCTGTCTAGCAGACTGCGCAAAGTAGGGCAATGTGATCCCTTCTGTAGCAAAGGATTTGAGCATGCATAGCAAACATTAGAGAAATACCTTGCAAATTTGAGGGAGCTCTGTGTATTTTTACTATATGGAGATAACGCATAATACTTTTAATAGTAGTGATTGATACACCACTAATGAAAGGAATGCAATGAGATCAGCTAAAAAGCTGGGGAAAACCCCAACCCCACTCCACATACAAAACTGGGAGAAATAAGACACTTTTAGAAAATCTATTTGAACTGGACTATCATCGAGAGACACAGTGAGGTCTGCAGTGAATGAATGACAGAGGAAAAGCTTGCATTGCCCCTTGCTAAAAGTTCAGATTACCACATAGGTGCTTCCAGAGCACTGAGGAATTACACTGTTGCTTTATATAACCTTTGCTCAAAAAAGTATAAGGCTTGTTGCATGCACCAGTGCAAGCTGTAGTTTGCATGAGGACAACCAGGGCAAATGACTGCACTTAAGGTGTCACCTGCAGCCAGAAATGTCTGAAAGAATCAAAATAACACACCGGTTGAAGGTGGAACTCCGAGTATCCCAACTGCTTATGACAATGTTCCAGCCAAGGGACAGTAACAATTGCCCGTGCTTGATTCACATCCCTTGTTTTATAAGTCCTACTGAATAACCACCAGGCATCCCTTTCTACAAAAGCCCAAATGCACACACAGACACGTATATATGCACCCACCTTGGTTCCTGAATAGAAGTCATCTTTTGACCTGCTGCCCATAAAAGGGAACTGCATGTGGGTATGGGTATCAATGCCCCCAGGGATCACCAGCCTGTTGGTTGCATCCAGCACAATGAGTCCAGTCAGTGGCTCAGGGTTTAGGTTTGGTCCGACTTGCTGCACCACTCCATCTTCCACATACACATCAGCCTCCACAGAGATGTCATCGTTCACAACTTTTCCCCCCTTGATCAGAAGCCTCTGCTGCGCCAGCTTTTGGGGTGGCATGGGAGCCTAGAAGCCAAAAGTGAGACTCAGCTGCTCTTGCCTGGAAATATTTGACTGACCACCTTTCTCCCAGAGCAGGGGTTATTTCCAAATGGTTCTAAACACATACCACACAGTGCTCTTTAAACAGAATTGCCCCTCTGCCCTTGGCAGCTCCTCCTACGGCCTCCAATGCCCTGCAAATGCGAAACGCCCACACGGTGGCAGAGTGTTGGCTTCGGGCCCTTTCTGCTCCAGAATCTTTGCCTTAAAAGAAAACAAGGATAAGCTTTCAAAGTGTCTGACTCATGGCACTGGCTCCATCCAGCCTGCCCTGTATACCCCAGGGTTTTTGAAACACGCTGGGCTGTTTTGAGAGTGTGGCCATTCATCAGCTTGTGATGCCCAAAGGTGACCCAAGCGTTTTGCATCGGGGTTTGAGGAAACCAAGGGTGACCTGAGCTCTCCACAGGATTGGTCAGGGAGCCCAAGGGTGACCTGAGCTCACTGTTTGTGCAGTGGGGCTGGGAGAGGACTGGGCTGCAATGCTCCAGGCACTGCGCCCGGCACTGCGCCCATCTCAGCCGAGCCGCACAGAGCACTATGGCGGGGTCCACCCTGCTGCCACGGGACTGAGCCGCCGCCGGAGCACATCAGAACTACTCCCGAGCTGATTCTCAGGTGATCACTTTGAACACACAACCCTCGGGACCCAAACACACAGACACCGCAGTGCCACTGCACGGACACTACAAGGGCAGGCGGGGGCAGCGCCCTGAGGCTGCTGCGGCCCCTGCTCACCCTGGATGCAGGAGGAGGCTCAAGCGGCACAGTCATGTGGCCGCTGCGGAGGGAAAAGGTGAAAGCCATCTTGGGGTAGCCGCCACCCCCTTGCCCCTGGCCGCTACGGGCAGCCCGGCACCCTGCTGCCCCCCCCCCCCCCCCCCCCAGTGCCCCGCGGCACAACCGCTACCGGCCCGCCCCTGCCCCGGCCGCTACCTCCGCCCCTTTCACTGCCCCTCAGCCCCCGCAGGGCCCTGCCTGAGGGCGGTGGCGGCGGGACCTTGGGAAAGAAGGGCCGGGCTGCTGCGGTGGGCCTCGGACGAGGCTGGGTGGCCCCGCTGGGAGAGGCGGCCTGTGGCTTTCATAACACAGGCACGGAAAACAGGGGGGAAGGTGGAATTATGAGTGAAAAATGAGCTAAGAGCTTGGAGCAGAAGAAGAGGGAAGACGTGCTCTACACCATGCCAGAGGAATGCGCTTATGTGGACTTTTCCTGCTTCCTCCCGTAACCTGAGTTTGCACACTCAGCAGTGACACTGCTCAAGCATATCCCTGAAACTGCTGAGCACCAGCATCTTCATCCCCTCGACCTCTTCTAGGTCAGTGACGAATGCTTCAGAAGACAGAGTATTGTCCCTGAGGGCTGTGAGAGGGTACACACATACACTGCCAGAAAGATTCTTAGATGACACTGGATCTGGAAGACACCTTCCCATCAGCAAGGTGATGTTCTTTCTCTCCCAGTGGGTAGGAGAGCTGTACCAGATATTTGTATCTGATCATCCCAAATTTTGGCTTGTGCCTCACCTGTGTGGTGGGACAGAGACCCAGCGGGATTCATCGTTCCACAGAGCAATAGAAAAGGTCACAACTCATTTGGAAAAGCAGACCAGAGAATGAGAGCAACCAAGTGAAATGCCCAAGGCTTGTGGGGCAGCTATGCCTGGCTGAATGGACAGGAAAGGACAAGCTCCACCTACCATATCTGCCACATTTAAAGCCAGTAGAAAGAAAGGGACCAACATACTGTGATGGGAATTCAGGCAGGAACTCTGGCTTGCTAATTACAATGGTATCGATGAGCCAGGAACAGCTGAGTTCCAGCAATATGATTATTCAGATGAAGAGCTGGGGATTAAAGATGGAGGAAGGAAGTTAAGTGAGTTAAGTGAGGAGAGGGGGTGGCAAAGACAGAGGTTCCTTTGGTCACATGTAGTCATGTGGGGTGCAGCAGACAGGTTCAGATGCCTTCCCAGATGGGAACAGCATCCACAAATTATTCAGTATTTACTGGCAAAGAGGATTCACCCTGAATTCCCCAGCCTGTTGCCAAAACTGCCAACTTAAACCAGTGACTTTCTTACTATTTCTCCCTGTTCAATGAATGTTTAGTTATTTCTATAGAGTCAGTTTCTACACAACAGACCTAGATAACCGCTTCCAAGCATGCTCTTGTGCTAGGGGCAGCAGTAAACTATTCCTGCTTAAATCCTTCCCCCAAATTGGGCAGGGGGAGATTTGGAGGCAGGCCTGCCACCACACAGCAGACTATGGTAAACACCAGGGTATCGGTTCCCTTTTTTTTGTGATTTGCACAGGGAAGAGCTGACAGTGATCAAAATCATGTTTACCTCTGTTTCTGGATGCCATTGGGTTTGAGCTCCATTTCCTCTCTTCTGATTTCCTCCTGGCTAATTTAGACTGTGGATCGTACTCTTAAGTGTCTAAACCTTCATACCTGTAACTTCATGTCCAGATCAGAGCTGCAGGCCCCCAAACTAGTGAGGTAATTGTCAGGTCTTATAATGCTGTGCTTAGGAAAACCAAATTTATCCTACAAGTGGTTTTGAACCCATTAAATAAGTTACTGGTAGACAATGAGATTCCGTCTAAGCAGTCCTTTTATTTAGTCCGTTTGGACAAACAAAATAATCTCACATCAGCTGCATTTATGTACATTTGGTAAATATTTGATATTTCACAGCTCAGCTGTCCCTGGAAGTAATGGCCTGAAATACTACCTGTGGGACAGATCATACTCCTTATCATACTGTGAGAAGACAACTGATCCCATATTCTTAGTCACCACTGAATATGTGTTGCTGCTACAATGAGGCTTCTGGTTCCAAATTGGCTTTGTGACCTTCCATCCTCAAAACATTTTACTCTTTTTGACCTTTCCTTTGCACAGTTTACAACAAACCTTTGCTCTGTAATCGGTACTGTTGTACTGGTTTGGGCTGGAGAGGCTTAAATTTCTTCAGAGTAGCTGATGGGGGGCATGCTTTGGATTTGTGCTGAAAACAGTGTTGATAACACAGGGATGTTTTGGTCACTGCTAAGCAGGGCTTAAAGTGTCAAGGTCTTTTCTGCTTCTTGCCCCACCCCACCAGTGAGCAGGCTGGGGATGCACAAGAAGTTGGGAAGGGACACAGGTGGGAGAGCCGATCCCAAATGACCCAAGGGATATTTCACACCATATGGTGTCATCCTCAGCATATAAATATAGGGGGATAAGAAGGAATGGGGGATGTTTGCAGTGATGGTGTTTGTCTTCCCAAGTAACCATTAGGCGTGACAGAACCCTGCATTCCTGGAGATGGCTGAACCATGGAAATGGTGAACTAATTCCTTGTTTTGCTTTGCTTCTGTGTGCAGCTTTTACTTGTCTATTAACCTGTCTTTTTCTCAAATTTGTGAGTTTTTTCACTTTTGCACTTTCACCTTAAGATTCTCTCTCCCATCCTGCTGGGGTTCGGGTGAGCAAGTGATTGTGCTTAGCTCCCAGTAGTTCAGTGATTTGAGAGGTATAGCAGAAAGTTGTCAATTGCAATCCTGAAGCTGAATCTTATGCTAATGCTTTTGTGGTCTGCAGCAAAGCAAATCATTCTGGAAATCTAATGTTGGAATGGCTTGTTTAGTGTAGCTATCACACAAATACAATCAGAGATTTCTCAGTAGCTTAATGATTAATATAACTGATTTAATTTTAAGAACCCTGAAGAAAATCCAATCCACATCTATTATTTACCAAAAGAAAATAATTCAGCAAATTAAGGAATACATTTGCATGAAGTGAATGACTGATGTTTGGAACATTCAAAAGACCTTGAGGACATCTTCTAAAAGTCATTATAACAAAGACACAATCAGTTTAATATCCCCTGAGACACCCCCCCCCCCCCCCCCCCCGAAAACTTTAGCTGCTGCCTCTCAGGATAAAATGTTACTAATTTCTATCTTCTGCTGTAATTATCCCATCTTACTCTTATTCTTCCTTTGCTTCTATTTTCACATTCTTCCTACCATTTCCTATTTATGAAAAGCCCTTCAGAAATAGGAAGGGCTATTAAGAATGATAATAACCCAAAGATTTTTAATGCATTAAGCTTCAAATAGAAGTTAGTGAGGTAGAGATGTATAGAATCATAGAGTTATAGAATAATTAGGGTTAGACAGGACCTTAAGACCATCTAGATCCCAACACCCTGCCATGGGCAGGGACACCTCACACTAAACCATGTCACCCAAGGCTCTGTCCAACCTGGCTTTGAACACCAGCAGGGATGGAGCATTCACAACTTGCCTGGGCAACCCATTCCAGTGCCTCACCACCACCACAGTAAAGAACTTCTTCCTTATATACAATCTAAAATTCCCCTGTTTAACACATTACCCCTTGTCCTATCACTACAGTCCCTAATGAAGAGTCCCTCCTCACCATATCCTCTTAAAACAGGAGGTGCTCCAGTCCCCTGATCATCCTCGTGGCCCTCCTCTGGACTTGTTCCAACAGTTCCATGTCATTTTTATGTTGAGGACACCAGAACTGCACACAATACTCCAAGTGAGGTCTCACGAGAGCAGAGTAGAGGGGCAGGATCACCTCCTTTGACGTGCTGGTCATGCTCCTTTTGATGCAGCCCAGGATATGGTTGGCTTTCTGGGGTGCGAGTGCACACTGAAGCTGGCTCATGTTCATTTTCTCATTGACCAACACCCCCAAGTCCTTCCCCGCAGGGCTGCTCTGAATCTCTTCTCTGCCCAACCTGTAGCTGTGTCTGGGATTGCTCCGACCCAGGTGGAGGACCCTGCACTTACCATTCCTTCCCTCCAGCGTATCAACCGAACCAAGCAGCTTGGTGTCATCAGCAAATTTGCTGAGGGTGTGCTCAATCCCACTGTCCATGTCACTGAACAAGACCAGTCCCTGAGGGACACCACTCATTACTGGTCTCCAGCTGGAAATTGAGCCATTGACCACAAATCTTTGCATGCAGCCATCCAGCCAGTTCTTTATCCCCCGAGTGGTCCATTCATCAAATTGATGTCTCTCCCAGTTTAAAGTCAAGGATGTCATGCGGGACAGTGTGGAATGCTTTGCATAAGTCCAGGTAGATGACATCAACTGCTCTACCCCTGTCCATCAGTTCCATAACTCCATCATAGAAGGCCACCAAATTGATCAGGCAGGATTTCCCCTTAGTGAAGCCATGCTGGCTGTCACCAAGCACCTTGTCATTTTTCATTTGCCTTAGCATGCCTTCCAGGAGAACCTGCTCCAAGATTTTGCCAGGTAATATCAAAATTCAGGAGATGCAAAAAAATTTGTATCTCAAAATGCAGGAGATGCAAACAAATAGGCTTTTGGGAAAATAATAAAGATGTTTTGTGAAGGAAACTTGGGACTGATGATGAGCAGTGGGGGAACATCTCAGCTAATAAATATGCATTGTTAATCATATTTTCCATTTCTGACAACTTTCCTCCAAGGAAGAAAAACTGCATCATGAACCAGATTTTCAACACAAGAAAATCAACAGAATGGATACCACCAACTCTCATTAATGGTGGAAAAGCCCTTGGTTTTGAAGAATCTGTCAAAAGATGTGTTAGTTTGAGCTGAATTCCAGATTTGCAGAAGGAAATTAATGGGTATCTTTTCCCATATTCAGAAAGTTAGGAGGATTTTGAATACACAGTAGGGCCATAACACCTAATCACGTGGGATTTAACACCCCTCTTTTCTTCAGTTGGAATTTAGTACTCATGCAATAGAATCAGCTGGTCCACATGTAATTATACCTGGAAAGTCCTCC